TCAGCGTTTTTCAGGTCTGTGCTACAAACTGCAGGCAGCAGGATAATAAAAGCCAACATATTCTGCCGGCAGGTTTCTACATTTTAAGTTAATTTAGGCGTTAATAAACTGTTTCAGAGGAGTGATCATAGCGCTCTGCATCAGCAGTGCTGTGTCTGACTCCCTGCCAGCTCCCAGACCAGCTTCTCTCATTGGTTGATGCGGTGCGTCCAGCAGCTAAAGTTACATTTTTCCAACTCCAGGAGCTGCTGCTTCTGAACTGCGTCATGCGCCTCAGATGCTTCAGTTGCTCTTGACACACTGCAGGACATTTTGATGTGCGTCAACCATAGACTTTGCTGGTTAACCTACAACTTCTGCTGCTTGAATCGCTTGTGGCGTGAACTTAGTCCCCCTGAAGGTCACTGGCAGCACTGCACTGTAACTACAGTAACTGAGTTCTGTCAGACCAGGATACCTACAGGTGCTGGTCATAAAATTAGAATATCATGAAAAAGTAGATTGATTTCAGTAATTCCATTTAAAAAGTGAAACTTGTATATAATATTCATACATTACATACAAACTCATATATTTCAGATGTTTATTTTGTTTAATTTTGATGATTACAAATGACAACAAATGAAAATCTCAAATTCATCATATCAGAAAATTAGAATATTGTGAAAAGGTTCAAAATTGATGGCCCCTGGTGCCACACTCTAATCAGCTAATTAACTCAAACCACCTGCAAAAGCCTTTAAATGGTCTTTCAGTCTAGTTCTATAGGCTACACAATCATGGGGAAGACTGCTGACTTGACAGTTGTCCAAAAGACGACCATCGACACCTTGCACAAGGAGGGCAAGACACAAAAGGTCATCGCTAAAGAGGCTGGCTGTTCACAGAGCTCAGTGTCCAAGCACCTTAATAGAGAGGCGAAGGGAAGGAAAAGATGTGGTCGAAAAAAGTGTACAAGCAAGAGAGATAACCGCACCCTGGAGAGGATTGTGAAACAAAACCCATTCAAAAATGTGGGGGAGATTCACAAAGAGTGGACTGCAGCTGGAGTGAGTGCTTCAAGAACCACCACACACAGACGTATGAAAGACATGGGTTTCTGCTGTCGCATTCCTTGTGTCAAGCCACTCTTGAACCACAGACAGCGTCAGAAGCGTCTTGCCTGGGCTAAAGAGAAACAGGACTGGACTGCTGGTGAGTGGTCCAAAGTCATGTTCTCTGATGAAAGTAAATTTTGCATTTCCTTTGGAAATCAAGGTCCCAGAGTCTGGAGGAAAAGAAGAGAGGCACTTCATCCACGTTGCTTGAAGTCCAGTGTAAAGTTTCCACAGTCAGTGATGGTTTGGGGTGCCATGTCATCTGCTGGTGTTGGTCCATTGTGTTTTCTGAGGTCCAGGGTCAACGCAGCCACATACCAGGAAGTTTTAGAGCACTTCATGCTTCCTGCAGCTGACCAACTTTTTGGAGATGCAGATTTCATTTTCCAACAGGACTTGGCACCTGCACACAGTGCCAAAGCTACCAGTACCTGGTTGAAGGACCATGGTATCCCTGTTCTTAATTGGCCAGCAAACTCTCCTGACCTTAACCCCATAGAAAATCTATGGGGTATTGTGAAGAAGAAGATGCAATACACCAGACCCAACAATTCAGAAGAGCTAAAAGCCACTATTAGAGCAACCTGGGCTATCATAACACCTGAGCAGTGCCACAGACTGATCGACTCCATGCCACGCCGCATTGCTGCAGTAATACAGGCCAAAGGAGGCCCAACTAAATACTGAGTGCTGTACATGCTCATACTTTTCATGTTCATACTTTTCAGTTGGCCAACATTTCTATAAATCCTTTGTTTTTATTGGTCTTCAGTAATATTCTAATTTTCTGATATGATGAATTTGAGATTTTCATTTGTTGTCATTTGTAATCATCAAAATTAAACAAAATAAACATCTGAAATATATGAGTTTGTATGTAATGTATGAATATAATATACAAGTTTCACTTTTTAAATGGAATTACTGAAATCAATCTACTTTTTCATGATATTCTAATTTTATGACCAGCACCTGTATAGTCAATACGCAAGATTTGCGTTTATCCCTTTAGTTTTGTATGAAAAATAGACTTCAAACTACCTCAACGGGCGTGTATCCCTTTAGTCTCTGTATTTTAGGACCTGTTTGTACCAAAAGACTGAGAAATCATGGAGATACTTGTACATTAGAGGCCTCATCCACCCCTCCAGGTGAAATCCTGATGTCTGATCAGGAAAAGGTTGAATCTCTTTTGTAGCCAAACAACTTTTAGCTTAGCACTGGTTTTAAAGGGGAGCTCAGACTGCCGTAAAGCGGCGCTCTGGGTCACATGGCTCATTCAGCGGTGGATCCGACTCTCTCAAGTTACAGAGGAGAGTTTTAGAGAAGAGCAGCCTGTTCTGAGCATCGATACACACCAAGAGCTGAATAATGACCTGAAAAATTATCTAATACATAAATAGTCATGTTGCTTTAAAAAAATAGGTAAAATGAAATAAAATTCCACTTTATTTAGTCTGAAGTTGCATTTTTTTTAAATTTTGAATTATGTTATTTCAGCACAAAAACATGCACTTGAATTTAAATATCATTGTTATCAGGGTTAGGGTTTCTTTTTGCTCAGTACAAGGACAAATAAAAGCATTTAATTCAGTTAAGCTTATTTCTGTAGCACCAATCCACAACACACGTCATCTCAGGCAATTTCCAGTTCACCAGATCATCCAGTCAGATTGATTCAATGTTTACTACCTAAGGAAAACCAGCTGATTGCATCGACTCATTGACTCTTCAGCAATCCCTCACACTAAGCATGCTTGTAGCGACAGTGGAGAGGAAAAACTCCCTTTTAGCAGGAAGAAACCTCCAGTGAGAAACAAAACCAAAAACATTGTCTTACTTTCCTAAATTATGCAATATAAACTTATTGCAACAAAAAACCGATTTCCATTAAATGGTGTTTGTTTTAAGGTAGAAAAGAAAAGTTGAAGAGGTTTGAATACTTCCACTGCACCGATGGACGCTCGATAAGATAAGAGCAATAATAGATATAAAACGAAAAGAATTCAAAGCATGCTAATATAGAAGCAAATTGTGTTGCCTTATGTTATTGTGACCTTAAGCTCACTTGATAACACAGAGCAAGCAGGATTGGAAGTCATGCGCCAATCTTTGCAATAACAAGATGTTTGCGAGCTGGAAGTCATGCGCCAATCTGGCAATAACAGGATGTTTACAAACTAGAAGTCACAAGTCTTGACAAAGCAGGGTCTTTCAGGCCCACGCGCATGCAATCGGGTCACAGGACAAGAACTCCCAGAAGGTTCTACAGAGCGTCCAGTCGTGCGCGTGCATCCACACAGTGCAATGTTGGAACTATATAAACGCCCAGATTTGAATGAGAGTTGAGAAAGGCCAGATGTGTTCTGTTGAAATGTTCAGCGCTCGATAAGTGGACAGCCTGTCAATTTGATCTTTGAAATAAATGCTTCTTCTCCCGTCCTGGGGCAATCAGATGATCGACTGAAGGTGTCCTGATTTTTGACTTCTACCATTGAAAGCCACAACATTTGGTGCATTGGCCAGGCTGAGATAGATCCGGGGCCACTACGTGCGGAGGCTTCCAGCCAGCAGGAGTGAGCTGTGGGGCGCCCTCCAGGATCACTTCAGGATCACTGAAGAAAGTCTTTAGGAGACGGTGAGTTAAATCCCTTGCTCCTATTTTAATGACTGATATAAAGCAGATCACTTAAGCTGTTTGGAAGCTACCCGCACATCTAACTGTATCAGGCGATTGTCTGTTTGCCACTGGATGTTTGCTGCAGCATAAATTGGCATCTTGAGATAAATAGTAGCTGTCAAGAACTGGCTCGGATTACCTGATGATTAATAGTAATCTGCTGAAGCGAGATTGCACCATAACTTCATAGAAATTGGTGGAAACTGGCGGTCACGGATTATAAGTGATGTATCATTGTGAATGATGCAACTATTATGTATATCTCATTCTAGTGAGGAAATAAATTTCCTAGAACATGTCGCCGAGTTGCAGTTCGACTGTTGTTGTTGAGAAAAGGCCTGAGTCTAGAGGACTATATTGAGATCTCAGTTGTTGAAGTTGCTTATCTCCGGAGAAAGAAATAGCAGGGCAGCTTGGCTCTGTGTTGATGTTGTCAGACCGAAAAGTTGATAAAAAGAGTTGAAAAGTGCATGCAAATTAGTTTAAATTGGCTGCTTGGGTCTATGAAGTTAAAGAATTCTGTGCACAACAGATTAATTGCCATGGCATCTAATGGTATGAATGTCTAAAGAGCTCTGTGTGACTCTGTATGAACGTGTGATTATATGACTGGTGCTGTTTGCAAGAGTGTTTGGTGATAGGAAATCTAAGTGCGCACTAAAACATCTGTTCAAATTTAAAACTTCCATCAGATCTGTAATCGGATCTGCTTACTCACTCACTGTAATTTAATTCAGCTGAAAAACAGTGTCCCGAGGACATTAAGGTTGGTATTCAAGAGTCTAAAATATAAAGAGATAAAGTTAACAGAGAAAAGAATTGGATAAATAAATCTAAAAAAAAAAACAAAAACAAAAAAAAAAACATTTAAGATTAAACTAAGAAAGAAAGTGATCACTATTAAATTTGCAAAAGACGTCTGCTTCACCTTTTATTGCTTGCTGCGTCACATTTTCTAAGTCTGCATGTGCCTGACTGCTGCGAAAAAGTGTCCCGTTTGCTCGTTCCAACGAAAGGCTTAACTACCATATGTTTAGACATTCTGGGTTGAAAAGTTGTCAAATATTATAAAGCGAATTGTCACATACGGTGCGGATATAACAAAGTTGGTTATTTTAAGTTACGACACAGAATCATACGTTTTTCTTCCTTTTTCTTCCTTTTTTCTTAACAGTCACCCACCCTTTCTCCTCCCACTCTCTCTCTCTTGCTCAACAAATTTCAACAAAACAAGAAGGCTGCTGCCAGACAGACTGCATGCTACTCTGCAGAGATAACTGCCGGTAAAATCTTCAGGACAGACTCGTCGCTGTTGGCAAAGTAAGGAAAGAGTCTGTTGTTGAAGGAATGTCTGAAGGTGTGAAGGACTTTGTTCGTATCCAGATCGATGAAGGAAAGCCTCCCTTTGCTGAAATCCAGCTGAACTCTGATTCTCTGGAGGTTTTTCACGGACAGAGATTTACCTGGCTGTGGCGAGGAGGAAGCTTCATAGTTCCCATCAGTGAGACAAACTTCCCAGTAACCCGTCTGTATTTGGCCTTTCCTCTGAGCCGACTCCTTTATCACTCCAACGCCCCAACATTTACTGCGTCCAACTTCCACATCCCAGTGGTGAGTTCCTGAGTCAAAGCCCTCTGAGCCCAGGGCACAGAGGTGATGATCGAACCTCTCTGGGTTGTCAGGGAGCTTCTGTGTCGGTCCAAACGTTACGGAGGACAGATCATCAGAGAAGACAAGTTTTGGATGGGCTGTGTTTGGATCCATGATGACAGGGAAGAAAGAGACCATCGCCTTCATCCGGATCCAGATATCATACACCAGGTTGCCCAAATGCTTGGCCTCATCTAGCAGAACTCCTGATACTGGCTTAGTGTGATCCAGCAGGGGGCGCCGTTGGATTCCTAACTTTACTGTCTGGTAGTTCAGAAGAAATGAGATGTCTGGAGCCACCAGCTTGTCGTCTGTGGTTCTGATTATTTCTGACATGGCTGAAATCTGTGAATTCAGAGCCTGGATTTTCTCCTCCAGCACCTTCCTCTTCCGCTCCTCTTCCTCTCTCAGAGCGGAGATCCTGGCCTCCTCCTCCTCCTTTAGAAACAGATAACGTTTCTTGAACTGATCTTTGATCTGCTTTTCTGTCCGCTCGGCCTGGACCCTGATGTGTCCTGCAGTTTGTTCCATGTTGTCTTTAGCCCGGTTAAACAGATCCAGTTTTTCCTTTAAGAACATCAGGTAGCCATTGAGCTCCTCTCGGCATTGGAGCACAGCTTCATTGATGGGCACAAATCTGTGGTTTCTGTGGGCATTAGAGTCCCGGCAGACGAGGCAGATGGGCTTCAGGTGCTCCAGACAAAACAGTCTGAGCTTCTCATGATGCTCGGGGCAGAGATCCTCGGACTCCGCGGGGGCTTTTTGTTCTCTTTCCAGGAGGAAACCCTCACACAGGTTCTTCAGCACCAGGTTGCAAGGCGGATCGCTGGATGGAGAAATGTCCTTACAAAGAGGACACGTGTAGATCTGCTTCTCAGACCACCAACACTGCAGGCAGGCTCTGCAGAAGCTGTGGCTGCACTGGAGGACAACGGGGTCCTTGAAGATCTCTTGGCAGACGGAACAAGAAAGGTCATCCTCTGCCTGGGAAAACATGATTAAAATACAAAAATCCTCCAAATATCACCTTCAAACTTCTCTCTCCTTAAAAGTCTTTAATAGGCACCAGTTTGCTATCGAGTTGCAGGTTTCCAGTGGTCATATATCGAAAGGGTGATGACTCCAACACTGCATGCACGCAAAATGAGGTTGAACAATGCACAGGTTGGCGTCTTTATAGGTTTGGAATGATAAGCATGTTTGACACACCTCTCCTGCTTCAGATTAGGCCATTGTTTCTTCTCAGGTTTGGGATTTCTGAGAACATCTCTCCTTTATAAAATACAAAATCTTTAGTGAAAGAGTTGAAGCTATCGGATAAATAAAACCAACAAGGGGAAGAACGGGTTTATTTCAGGTATCTTCTTTTTGATGCAGAAGATTCATATGAAACAAAACCAAGAAAGGTAGAGAAAACAGAAAATTATCTGGCACCAATCTCATCGCCTCCCAAAACAGCTCTGCTGGAAAGACAAGTTAAAGCAGAAAGGCTGAACGTAAAGCGCGGCAAGTCAGGGCGGGTTTATCTGTAATGCACAGTTCAGTCTGTTAAGCTGTTGCACATGAACAAAGCACAAGAAAAAAACACGAGATGTAGATAAAGGTTGTGCAACAATCTTAAATGGATCTTGCTTTAGTCAAATGTCACTGTGAGCCAACGGATTGTAACCAAGGCGACACAAAGTCCTGTAAAACTGGGTTTTTATTCCAATCTTCTGAGGCTACAGCTCCCGCCTCTCACAGGTCCAAACAACACGTTTTATTCCAGCTTCCTGCCTCTAACTCCCAGAACCCCCCACTCCAGGTCCTGCCGCTAAAGCGATAATCTGAAAGACTTCACCTGGAACCACCTGGGATGTCCCTTGTTCAATTACAGCTAATCATCGTTGGGGCCTCACCTCCTCCCAAGTCAAGATCCCTTTCCTTAATTTTATTTTATTTTTATTTTTTAACAGTGTCCCTTTCTGGCAATGTGGCAATAAGAATAATTGTCTTGTTGCCAAAAAGAGCCCAACAGATTTTACTTTCACCAGTGGAGCAGGACAGCTATCGCCATAGTGTTCTGCTTGATTTATGCATAGAAATAGCTTTATTATAATTATGCAGGGAGTTTTACAGATTATATGGATACTGCAATGTAAGTAGAACAAGAAAGGAAAAACAGAAAAAAGGAGAAAAGATGAAAGAAAGAGGAGATAAAAGGGAGATAAAGATAAAACATCTTCAGTCTGCTTCATCACCTGCAAAGAGATGGAAAAAGAACAGAACAACCAACGGATATAATATAAGAGATACAATAAAGTAACACAAGTAACAAGATCCCTTTCATTCAGCTCTCACCCTAGCTTCTCTCTCCCACATGCTGGCCAAATCTCACCCACCTCCTCTCCATCTCCTCCCTCACTCTTAGACTATTCGCTCTGGCTGGCATTAACAGGACAGATTGACCCAGTTTTCAAAGCGAGTCAGACAATGTTTCAAAAAAGACAAAGTTTCAAAACGTTTAATGACAGAAATAATAAAACAGAACAGAAGAGAAACGCAGGCTGCTGAGGAAAAGCGGACCACAGCGGCTGCAGGAGGGGTGAGATGTGGCTCAGGGGCGTCCAAAGCGCCCCAGTGAGCAGGCAGGAGACCGATCCAGGTTAGAGAAACGGTTCAGGACCGGACAGTTCTGAGATCCAGGAGTCTGTAGCCCGACCAGTGGTTCCGGTCCAAACAGGAACAGACAGATCCAGGGTTCCAGTCGACCTCGGCATCTGGCATTTACCCTTCAGAATATACCCCATAAGGAGTTTTGATCTTTTGTGTTTTGCAAATTTGCTGAGAGGCTTAAATGGGTCACAGCATATGGATTCCTCTTTCAAATCTTTAATTTTTTTGGTATAAAATATTGATTTAAAACATGAAAATGTCTTCATTTAACAGGGAGTTTCACTCCATCTTAGTCCGGTCTGTCCTCATGCTCCTTCCTCCTTCCACATACTTGTAAAGACATGCACAACACACCTCTGCTGTTAATCACTTTCACTTTGAAGACAGCGTGCGTTACAGACAGACAGGTGCGGGCAGAAAACTGGAGCAGTGCATCACCAGATTAACGTGGTACCGGCACTTTGGAGCGCTGCTTATTCCTAATCCTGAACAGCAGGCAGTTTTAGGAGACCACAGACCTGAAGGAAACCTGTGAAAATGACAGAAGAGAATCTCTCCTGCAGTATTTGCAGCAACATCTACTCCGACCCTGTCGTTCTAAGCTGCAGCCACAGTTTCTGTAGAGACTGCCTGCAGGAATGGTGGTCTAAGAAACAGGCACAGAAATGCCCGCTCTGTAACGAGTCACATCCTTCCCAACATCTGCCCTGTAACCTGGTGTTGAAGAACCTTTGCCAGGACTTCTTGCTGAGGAGAAAGCAGGAAGAAGCTGAACCTCTCTGCTCTCTGCACTCTGAGAAACTCAAACTATTCTGCCAGGATCACCAGCAGCTCGTATGTGTCGTCTGCCGAGACTCCAGGGAGCACAGAAGACACAGATTCACGCTGGCGAACGAAGCAGCTCAGCACTACAAACAGCAACTGCTGCAATCTGTCAACAAACTGAGAGGGAAGCGGCTGTCTGTGGAGCAGGTTAAAGCAAACTTTGATAAAACGGCAGTACACATCAGCAAGCAGGTGCACAAAACCGAGAAGGAGATCACACAGCAGTTTAAGAGCCTTCATGAGTTTCTCCAGGATGAAGAGAAGGCTAGGATCGCCGCACTGAGAAGTGAGGCAAAACTAAAAGCTAAAGTGATACGGGAGAAGATTGTGGGTCTTTCCAGAGACCTGACAGCTTTTTCAGACACAATCAGAGCCGCTGAGGATGAAACCAAAGCTGCAGATGTTTTATTTCTGCAGAAGCACCATCTGGTGCTGGAAAGCGTGCAGCAGCAGCTCCAGATGAAGGTTCCACACCTGAAATCAGGAGCTCTGATAGATGAAGCCAAACATCTTGGCAACCTGACTTACAACACATGGATGAAGATGAAGGAGATGGTTTTCTTCTCTCCTGTTGTTCTGGATCCAAACACAGCACATCCAGAACTCCTCCTGTCTGGAGATCTGAGCAGCATCACCTCTGGACAGAGATCTGAGCTTCCTAACAACCCAGAGAGGTTCGACCACCGCCTCTGTGTCCTGGGCTCTGAAGGTTTTCCCTCAGGGTTTCATAGCTGGGATGTTGAGGTCAGAGACGATGCACTCTGGAGCGTTGGCGTGGTAACAGAGTCTTTTGGGAGGAAAACACAAACAGGGGCTGGATTGTGGGCACTGGGTCTTGATGGGAGGTATTTTGTGGTCTCTCCCGGTCGTCCAGATGAAGTTCTCCCAGTAAAGAGGCTCCAGAGGGTCAGAGTTCAGCTGGACTGGGACAGAGGGAAGCTGTACTTCTTCGATATGGACACTGAAAAACTGATCTACTCCTTCAAACACACTTTTAAGGAGAAGCTATTTCCGTTCATTTGTAATAAGAGTAAATTACCTGTGAAGATTTCCCCAGTGAGCGTCAGTGGAAACATCAACCATCCGACCCCTTTCTCAGCTGGTTTCTGGGATTTTTAGACTTGTTTTAAACCTTTATGTTTGCACCAAATACATTAAAAAGTGATGTCAACTTATATATCCAGAACTGGGAAATTTGAAATTATCTGGATTGTTTTAAATCACATAGATAATTTATTCCACAAGGATGTTATAAAAGGAAAAGTCCGTTCATTTTCAGAATTCAAACTTCTGAAAGTTCTTTAAATCTGAAATGATTCCATCCTGTTCAATAAATAAGTGTTTTTAATTCAGAGTAATTTTCATGTGAATGTGCTTTACTGGAGGCATCCATGTTTGTCAAAGAACACTACTGCCACCTACTGGTTTGTGACGTCACGGTGCGGTATCGGCTGTTGATCAAGTCCCAGTGCTGTATCTGGTGTTTGTCACAACGCGCTATTATCCAAGTCATCTTGAAAACATTCTTCTTCCAAATGTTGGCTACATATTACGTGTTTTTTCTCTGGCCAGAAGTTCGATGGCAAATCCTCCCTCTTCAAGTTGGCGATCCAACGACCAACCCGTCCGTGGAGGATCAGGGATCAGAAAGGTGGAATAACTCTTTTTTTTTTCACTTTAACCCGATGTATTCCAGCATCCAGCTGCCATGCACGTGGGCATTGTCAGTTTCACTATAGCTCTGGTGAATTTCAATGGTGAAGTCCTCTGGAAATCTTCAATAATTGTTGTTGATTGCAGATGTGTCTAGTAGTTCCCATTGATTTAGCTTGTAAAGCGGGGAGAATGGCGCGAGGCTTACCGCACCGTGACGTCACTGCTGGAAGATGGCAGGAGGGACTCAGTGATTGCAAAGAAAATTTTAGTTTTTTTTCTTTTTACTGCTTTAAGGCCTGGTTATCCTCCCGCAGCAGTGTGTCTCAGTGAGCTTGTTGCTGATATTTTTGATTTATGCTCAATATGGAAGCGTGGTCTGCGCTATGTTTTTCCACGCCACAACGCCAAAGGCCAATCAGGAACTAGCTGTGGGTCTAGATACGGCCGAGGCGGTGAGGAAGTGGGGGCAAGTTTGTGAGACAATGGAGGGACATGAGGGCCAAAAAAGGTGGAGATCCAGGTGGAAAAAGGGTCCCAGCGTTCTCACGCACCTCGCTCTGCTAGCTGCTCCATCTTCACCAGTCGTTTTTCCAGAATGGCGGTCAGACATACAAACAAAACAAGCCGCTAAGGAACCAAACAGGAAATACTCATAGTGTAGAGCGGACATAGATTTGACCAATCAGAGCCCTCCTGACTGCGGTCACCTGCAATTTTTGAGAGGTGTGCCAGAGTGTCTGCAGAAGGGCATATCTGAGTTAACTGTGAAACACACGTAGACGAGCTGGTTTCTGAGAATAAATCAGCCCTAAAGCTAAATTCCTTAAATCGCAGTGAACGTATTAGTTTTGGGTATAAATAATGATCCATTCATTATTCCTTGCTGACCGGACTTTTCCTTTAAATAAATAATTGCTTGGAAATATAAAAAAGGCCAAGAAGTTATAACTCTGCAGATTATATTAAATTTTAGGTAGTTGAAACCCTTCTCTCCCAGTAAAATCTCATCAGTTTGCTAAATGAGACAGGAGAACAAAGACTGGGTGGAGCATCTCCTTTAAACTGGTTGGTTTTGTTCTCACAGTGGTTTGATTTGAAAGGGAAAAAAGGTGCGGTTTGAATGGTATTGTAAACACTACAGTCAAGTTTCACCTCAGCTGTCATTGTGAAGTTTGCAGATGACACAGCAGCAGTGAGAAACATCACAAACAATGATGGGTTCAAACCCAGAGGAGGTTGAACACCTGGTGCAGCGAAGCAGAAACAATAACTGTATGGAGCAGCCTTCCTTCCTTCCTCTCTGGGCATCAAGATGCAGAAGGAGGGACTCTGCATCCTGAAGGACTCCGCCCATCCTTCACACGGGCTGTTCCAGCTTCTCCCCTCAGGCAGGCGGCTCAGGAGCATCGAAAGCAAAACCAACAGGCTCAAAAACAGTTCCTGTCCTGCATCTTGTTCTGAAGGCTTTAGTTTGGCATTATTTACAGTGGGGCCAAGAAGTATTTAGCCAGCCACTGATTGTTCAAGTTCTCCTACTAAGAATATGAGAGGTCTGTAATTTTCATCAGAGGTAAACTTCAACTATGAGAGACAAAATGAGAAAAAGAATCCAGGAAAACACATTTTCAGATTTTTTTTATTATTTATTTGTAAATAATGGTGGAAAATAAGTATTTGGTCAATAAATAAAGTTCAACTCAATACTTTGTAACATAACCTTTGTTGGCAATAATGGAGGTCAAACGTGTCCTGTAAGTCTTCACCAGGTTTGCACACGCTGTAGCTGGTATTTTGGCCCATTCCTCCATGCAGATCTCCTCTGGAGCAGTGATGTTTCGGGGCAACACAGACTTTCAAATCCCTCCACAGATTCTGTATGGGGTTGAGGTCTGGAGACTGGCTAGGCCACATCAGGACCTTGAAATGGTTTTTACGGAGCCACTCCTTTGTTAACCTGACTCCGCCAGATGGATTTGCTGGATTTGCTCCTCATATCCATCTGGAAACCTTCCGTTGAAGTAATTTTGAAGGGGCGAAAATACTGGTTAGCTGATTGGCCTATGTTGGTGATAGACGGGCCAAATAAACCAATCAGATCAATGAAGCATATGATGTACTAACAAAGCGACGACGAAAAGACAACCACAAGCCTGGCTACTCTTGCTGCTGCAGGTAAAGGCTCGTTAGCTTAGCAAATAAGCAACATGTCGGCAAAGTATATTTACCGTTTATGTATTCCCATTTTCTTCTCGACAAGAGGAGCCAATTGACAGATCAAACTCTTGCCGAAACCAGTCGAGAGAAGAGCAAAAACATCTTTTCCTCTGAGAAAAGCCTCCAGAGCAGTGTTTTGCTCTTCTTTCAGTGAAGAAATACTCTGTAACTCAGATAAAACTTGCTCGATAGCCATGCTAACGCTAGTTTCATTGGCTGAAGCCTCCATGTTCTTTAGACTGAACTGTCGCGCTTCTCGTTGCGTCACACCTCAACCCGCCTCAAAGCCAACGCTGATTGGACGTTCGTTTGGTGAACGGCTCCAAATTTTCTTTGACGGAGAGTCTCCAGAATGATCTGCGAGTGAAACCTTGAAAGCTCGCGAGATCAGGATGGTCTCACGAGGCTAATCCTTTGTTGCCAGGGCCTCCAAACACCACGAGTTTTACACTGTATGTGTATTTATGTCAGTCACATCATGATGTCTGTAAAGCTGAAGTCTGTCTGGATTCAGCACAGCAGTCTGGAGCTCCTTTCCCACCCAGGATCGTGTACTTACTGTCGATCCCAACAGAGGTGAAGGAATAGGAGGTAGGATCTACAATTTGAGGATTTCAGAAAGAGACCTTGACAATTTAGTCCCATGAGGCACATCTACGCCAGCCCTTCGAGAACTGAAGTCCTAGACCCTGCTTTAGATCAATCCAGAGCCAAACCCCAAAGAATGTTTTCACAGGGCATGAAAATTAAAGTTCAATTTAATTAAATCTAGTTTATTTCTATAGTGCCAATTCACAATACGTCATCTCAAAGCACCTTACAATTAAACCAGATCATCCAGTCAGATTGATTCAAAGTTTTCTATCTAAGGAAAACCAGCTGATTGCATCGACTCATTGACTCTTCAGCAATCCCTCACACTAAGCATGCTTGTAGCGACAGTGGAGAGAAAAAACTCCCTTTGAACAGGAAGAAACCTCCAGCAGAACCAGGCTCAGTGTGAGCGGCCATCTGCTGAGGCCCACTGGGGTTCAAGGAGACAGAAGCAGATCTCAGTCCAATCTGAGCTATTTTGAAAGCTAGTTTTTTTTTTTTTTTTTTTAGCTGTATCATCTGTTGCCGTGGCGGTTTGTCCTTATCTAGGATTTTATTTCTAGCTTTTTTTTTCTTCTTATTTTCGTCTTTCATTTTTGTCCCCCTTTATGTAACACATATTACCCAATTATATTACCTGAATCTAAAAAAAACTACCGTAAGCATTTGCAAATGATAAAAACTAAACTAGCAAACAAATACTGAAAAGAAATTCAAACTAAAATAAAATAAATCATTAGAAAAAATAAAAACCGATGAGATTTCCAAACTACTCAAACATGGCTGATGATGCATTCAATGAACAAACCGACCCAAATGGCTGTTTTTGGATTTTAAAAATTTAAAAAAATCTTCTAAAAAGTCTATGAAGGGGTTTAAAGAAAACCCTTATGTTTTATTTTAGAACAGACGTCCATTATACTGTAAAAACGATCTAGAAATAAGTCAAAATGTCTTAAATTAATTTGAGTTGGAAAATAAATCTATCTGAATATGCAATGAAGATTTTTACTCTTAAAATAATTAGATAATGTCCACTTAACATAAGAAAATTAAATATTTTTTTCTTATTTTAAACAGAAATGATCTTGTTCCATTTGCAAATTGTCTTAATTACCTCCTCAATTCAAGAAAAAAATGATTTATTTTAAGAAATGAGTCATCTAGATTTTGATTTTTTCCAGTGCTCTGCAAAAATGATCTCAAAATGAGTAAAAATGTCTTAAATTATGGGTATTTACCCTTAATTTAAGCAGATAAATAAGATGATTTTCCAATGAAATTAGCAATTTTACCTTGAAAATAAGGTATCAAGATATTATGCACTTGAAATAAGACAATGCAATTGTTTTTTTCTTATTTTAAGTGTGAATTGTCTTATTCCATTGGCAAAGTGTTTCACTTAAATCCTTAATTCAAGAAAAAAATGCACATATTTTAAGAAAAAAAGACTTTTACATTTTTTTTGCAGTGTGTAAAGTTTTGTAATGTTTATGGTTGGATGTCCAATGGGTCCAAAAAAGACAAATTAAAACAAAATCTCAGGCTTTAATACACGAGATGCGAGTGAAAGCTTCACTCAGTCAAAATGACAAACTTAATAATAACGTCTCTTAAAAAAAAAAACACATTCAGTGTAGAAAAAAACAGAAACAAACATTTTGTCTCAGGTTTCAGTGCAGAAAATAAGTCCTAATATTTTCAATCTTTTTAAAACTGCTGTCCAGAAAGCCGACATATTAAAAAAAAAAAACAAGCAAAAGAAAAACATTTTTGTTCTTGATGAAATCTAGCATCACCTGTATCAACCAAGCAGCTAATGCATGAATGGAAGATCGAAAAGATAGAAACCTTCTTTTCCGACAATTAAGCTAAAGCCAGGAGCAACAAAATGGTTCTAATAACTCAGCAATTATTTGTATAAAATCAAGAAAAAGTTCAAACAGTAGAGAGAGGGGGGGAAAAAGATCCCTGTGTGTTAAATGCAGCTCTTTTAAAGTATAAGGAGGCTGTAAAGTTAAACATGTGGCTCAATCTCCTGCAGGACAGTCAGCAGATTTTTTTTTATGTCAGTTTTTGATCGAAAAAACTTTTGGCCTGAGTTAAACGGAGCAAAAACCTTAATGATTTACTGGGTCCCACTTTGGCTTTCTGCTCGTCATGCTAAGCTATGCTAACCACCACCTGATGTGGATCCTAAGAGGGGCATTTCCTAATAGAACCATTTTACGATTAGACTCGTCACACATGCATAAGAAAGGGTTAAATGAATAAATGCTAAGCTAACTTATCACACGTCCATCAAGGGCTTTAAGGAACATTTCCCCCATTAAATGCACATTTGTTTGGTTAGAAAATATAAGAAGACGTCAGAACAACTCCAGCTTGGTCCATAATAACAACCCTGATGGGTTTGATCAGATTTAAAACCGTTTTGCTTTAAACTCCTTCATTTATGCTCCGCTTTGGATAAGCAATTTTCTTGAAATAAGTGTTTTTCCTCTTAATTTGAGCAGCTAAGCACGACAATTTCCCAACAGATTAAGATTATTGATGCTTAAAATAAGAATGAATTAACTATTATCTTATTTTCCAGTACACAGCATTTTATCTGAAGGTCATAAATCCTCATTTCACTGACTGATCGTTTTATTAACCTGCTCAAATTAGGGACAATACATTTATTTTAAGAATGTTTTTCCTATTTTTGGATCGGTTTGTATTTATTCTCTGTTCGTCATGTAGGTCCATAAGCAGGTATTATAAAAACAACAAAAAACATCAATTGAGGTGTGCTGAAAAAAGCGGCCCATCATTGCAAAATCTGAAATCCAGCACATTTGTCCTGACATAGGTGTATTTTCCTTTGTTCTGAGCAGATAAGGATGACATCACCAGTGGAATAAGCTGATTTTATGCTTGAAATAAAATAAATGAATGTTTTTATTTATCTAGAATATCTAATTATCTTATATCAAAAGGGTAAAAATACTAATTCTGCCGATGGATCATCTTAGCTGCTCAAATTAAGGGTAAATACACATATTTGGGGATTTTTTAAAGTTATTTTTACATCATTTTTTGCAGTTTTTGTTTAATACTACAAAATTGTACAATAAATAAGCATTTTTCTTTTTTTTTTATAAATAGGAATTTCCTTTCTTTTGAGCCAGTAATACAATTTGCCAGAGGAATAAGATGACTTATGATTAAAACAAGAAAAAAAAAACCAACTCTATTATTGTCTTTCCAGTTCATAAATCTTATTTTGATGAAAATCCTTATTCCATTGGCAGATCATAACATTTATCTGTTCAAATACCTTTATTTTAGGACGCTTCTATTTATTTTTCGACCCGTTTTTTGGAGTGTGGTTGAGGAAATGTCGTAGCAGCTCTGCAAACGGTGAAAAAGTGAAACATGCAACTTCAACCTTTAACTAGTTACAACATTTCCCATCGATAAATGTGGATTTGTTTAGCGATAACAGAGAAAACCACTAATTAAGCCTAGAATTAGAGATATACCCTCATTCAGGATCCGACTCTGCAGGTCCAATAATACAGGAAAGAAAAGTAAGATCGGAACTTCCCAGATTAACTTTTAAATAATCCTTTTTTTTAAGAGCAAATAAACCAGTTTTAACACAATTATTATTAAATAAAGGGAAGAAAATAAAAAACAGTGAGATGAGAAATTACTAATTGTTTGGACAGTCAGTCATTTCCCTATATCTTTAATGTTTAAAGAAGAGCAAAACTTCAAAATAAAAGCCTTCCATAGATGAGTGATTTTCTCCGTATGATCATCTGAGGATAAACTGTGTCCAGATCCTCCCTCCTGAAGAGTCAGTGTTAGGAGGAGGAACATCTGGTGTGAAGGCCTGAGCTGATGGTTCAGAGGAGCCATGTTTCCATCCATCCCGCCTCGGTCAGAAACATTCAACATGGCTGCTCTAACGTGGACGTACGAGTTTGTGCCATCTAGACGAAGCAGAGCAGCTTTTCTCCGCTCTCTCCTCAGCTTGTTTTCAGTCTTTGAGATGTTCAACGATTTCTTCAAGTTTTATTTCAGCACCAGCGTGGCCTCCGAGCCGTCCTTCTTCTTCAGGTACAGCCCATAGGTGAGGTGGTGCTCTCTCCTCACGAAGGCGTAGAAATAATCCGACACCAGCAGGATCTGACAGGAAACACAAACATTATTATTTGGTCATTTTGAAACAGAAAAAACAAAAAACGTTTCGGGTCGTTTCCTCTCGCAGCAGCTTCTTTTATAAACTAAGCCATGTTCTGCTGTAGATTATTGTTAAATCAACCATTAGGCAATACTAGGCAGTTGCCTAGGGCCCCATAAAACTCCTTTTACATGTATAATTAATACAGCTGGTCCTTATTTCTGCACATTAATTTGTCAACAACAACATCGACAACATCTAAAAGCAGCGAACTCTGCTCTCCAGAGCGAGTAGATTGGTAACCCCGCCTCCTGCTCTCCTCTATCTTGTCTGCTGTCATGATTCATGCAGCTATTATTTCATCCAAATGAAAAATGGAGAACAGATAATGGATGTCTATTCTATTAACATTTCTCTATCTGTAGAGGAAAGATCAGACTCAGGTGCTTTGCATTCTGGGAAAAAAACGGATTATTTATTTTGTCCTGTTTACACATTTTCATTAAAAGATTTTAATGATGATCTTTCTGTGTGAAAAAGAAGAAACATGGACAATGATGTAGTTTCCCTGTCACACCACTAGTGGGCAGTGTGTGAAATTTTGAAATTTGAAATTTATTCGAACATGATACAAATATAAGAATAAAATAGTGCACAGTAACAAGAAGTGCATAAAAAAGAAGAGAAAAAATACAGATATTTGTTTCAATTAACATATCATGCTCAAAATGGGGTAGGAAGAAGTGAAAACTTATTAACTCCTACCCCCTAAACACTTGAAAACTTACAGTCCTACTGTTATTAAAAAAAATGAAAGTCAAGTGAAAGTCAAAGTGGCAGTCAGCAGTTACTAATATTTACCTAAACATTTCCCTTTTTATGCTGGCTTGTCTTTCCAAACCCTTACACCAAGTTGTTATCTTCAATACACACATTTTCGCTTTCCCTCACTCATATGTCTATCTCTATTGAAAATGACCTCCTTATATTTTCTATTGAATTGTATTAAACTATTGCTTTGTTTTAAATCTTCATTTAAGTTGTTCCATAACTTTACTCCTTTAATTAAAATACAGAAGCACTGGAAAAAATCGAAATCTAGATAAGTCATTTTTCCTTAGAATAAGTGCAATTGTTCTCGGATTGAGGAGGTAAAAGATACATTTTGCCAATGGAACAAGATAATTTACACTTAAAATAAGAAAACACTATTGCATTCTCTTATTTCAAGTGCATATTATCTACTTATCTTATTTTAAGAGTAAAAATACTCATTCCATTGGCAAACTATCTCATTTACCTACTCAAAATAAGGATAGATATACTTAATTTAAGAAATTTTTGCTTATTTCTAGATCATTTTTCCAGTGAGCTTTTTCTTGTTGTTCGCAACTTGGGCATCTTTAAGTTTGAGTAACCCCTTAAATTATACCCCACTTCTCTTTCAGAAAACATGCTCTGTATGTGCTCAGGTAACAACTTTTTAGATACTTTGAACATAAATTGATCCATTTTAAATTCTACAAGCTCGTCAAATTGGAGAATTCTGGATTTTTTGAAGAGTGGGTTTGTATGCTCATATTAACCAACATTATGGATGATTCTAATGGCTCGTTTCTGTAGGATGGTTACCGGATGTAAAGAACTCTTGTAATTAACTCCCCACACTTCACAGCAATATGATAGATATGGTAAAATCAGAGAGTTATATAGGATATGAAGTGATTCAGCATTCAATACATGTCTAGCTCTAGCCAATATAGATATGCTTCTACTGAGTGTTCCATGAAACACCACTAGATTGAAACTTGACTCCCTGGATGCTATCCTGCAAATTGCTAAAGATTGCTAACACGCATCTTTAAAAAATTGTTAATTACTGTTCGGAGATTATTTTGATGCTTTTTGCATTTTCTTCGTTAAACTGCTTCTCTGACGTCATCATGGGACCTTCTTAGAGCAGCCCGGCTAAATATAATGAAACCATATTTATCTGCATTTTAGTTGTTTCGTTATTTAGGTTACGCACTATAAAGCATAAGGTTAACATGAAAGGGAAACATAAAAATCAAAAGATTTATTTTTAAATCCAAAGCTGAAAAAGTTAGCTCCTGGAAGTAGCGTAGGATCCCATTTCCAGTGCAGATCGGGAACAGATTATTTAATAAATGCATTTATTTTCTCAGGAAATAAATTATTAACTTTTAACACATTATAGTTTAGTAGGCTTACTATTTCTGGGGAGAGAAAAATGTAGCTTAGGTCTTTTTTTACTAAATAAAATCGAGGGTGACCCGGATGTATATCTGGTTTTGAATATTAGGTGGTGGTACGGATCATGCTTCCGGCGTAGGTACCAGATCGGCTCGGGGCCCCGCCCCTTCTGATGTCATCAATATATGGCAACTCCACTCGGACAAACTGTATTGCACCCGTATCATAGGAATCAAATCTCTTTTGGAGTCTCAACATATTATTACCTATATCTGCTATATTCTACATTTCATTGGCGATCTAGTAGCCAAAAGTAGAAAACAATCATTTTCAGTCTTGAAGGCAAGTAATGTACTTTAAGACAGAATGAGCTCTACTATTTAACAAGGCTTCTTATAATTCTTTTACTTAAGATCTTAGGGCGGTGGAGAGAAAATTAAACCTCTTAAAAATGAAATATGTTGGAGATTTTAGACAAAGAGGACAACAATTATTCTACTGAATGGTTGTTGTTGACATGAATTTAAAAGTAGTGTAGCTTAAAGGCATAGGAAAATGGCCGTTCCAACCGTTGCATTCTCCCAAATTCTCCCGAGTGGTGCCCGACTTTACACGAGTGAATAAAGTGAATGTGATTGGTTTAAATCAAGGGGGCGGGACTGTTGTGGCGGAAGGTTCTCAAGCAAGTTTGGTTGTGGCCGGTTTGTCGGAAGCATCATGCTAACCAGTTAGCAACTTAATGCTAGCAGGTTCCCAATGGGAAATTCCATTGGGACCAAGTAGCACTAAATTGGTGACTTAGAAACGACGCTGTCAAGGAACGCTTTGGACAGCGGAAACATGCAAGAGGAGGAGAGTTTAGTGTCGGAGGTCGTGGATGAGTCTCCTCCGTCATCCATTTTTTATTTAGAGGAGGAAAGCGGGGACGAAGATGTTGTGGAAGAGGACGCCAGGGCGGCAGAAGCTTGGTTTGGCGTAGAAGGCTTCCAGCCGTACATGTTTGAGCCCTTGCCTCACAACGCTGCCAGTTCTGTTAGCTCTACGCCTGCCGAAGACACAGACGTCCATCCCCGTGAACACTGGGACGCAACTCAATGGGAAAGGAAAGGATTCTGATTTCAACCGGTGCGTATATTAGCTGCGACATATGAATCAAGATGCGATGACTGAAAACATTTGATTGACAGATGACCGGTGATGATTGGCCGAATTTAGGTGTTCAGTAGAACTAACTGGCCTGCAGAAGAAAACAGGAAAAAAAACACAGATAATACGACAGGATTTTTTGTTTGTTTTTTTAAATAGAAATTTTCTAAATTTTAGGACAATATCATATTTAAATATGATTTCCCTACGACTTTAATATGGCTAACTGGCCGAGCTAAAAGGGCTAACCTGTTAGCTACAGCTAGCCACAGCGCTACCCAGCTCTCACTGCAAAAAAATGAAATCTAAATAATTTCTTCTTAAATTAAATGCATTTTTTCTTAAATTAAGGCTTTAAGTGAGACACTTTGCCAATGGAACAAGACAATTTACACTTAAAATAAGAAATAACAATTGCATTGTCTTATTTCAAGTGCTTTTTATCTAGATACCTTATTTTAAGAGTAAAAATACTCATTCCATTGGCAAATCATCTTATTTACCGGTACCTGCTCAAATTAAGGGTAAATACCCTTAATTTAAGACATTTTACTCATTTTGAGATCATTTTTTCAGTGCTCCTCCTTTATATGATGGTCTAACAGTTACTTTGTTCACCAGAAACAGATTTTTTTTTTCAGTTTTGTTATCGATCAGTTAAAACTTTGGTCATTAGAAATGCTAGAGAGGCTCCCGACTCGTCACACTGACGATGCATTATGTTATTATTATCGTTGTCCGGGGCAACTACAACGTTTTACAATCATGTGGCAACGTTCAATCAATCATGTAGCGTAACGTCACTAGCAGGAAGCAGGACCCGAGCAGATCTGGTAGCTACGCCGGTACGGATGGGGTTGTGACACCCTCCTCCACGGACCCCCATTTCCCCCATTTCTGGTAAAGACGGTGGAGAAAAATCCAACCTCTCTGTCACAGAACTATTATCACTGGGATTGCTTCTGCTCGCCATGTTTCTGTCGCTTTAAACGGCCGTCCTCAGCCTTCAACCTCTCTGGGCGCCACCTTCCATTGGCAACATTTACAAATAACACATGTGAGCAGACGTGCAGCTATGGAACAACCTAAAGTTGATACTAATATCCTGAAAAAGAAAACATCTCTACCATCCACACCATCCCACCTGCGCTACGTTGAAGAGCAGAGTTATGGCGTAGTAGAAGTTGGAGTTGGCGCTTCCTGCGTAGATCCAGAGGTGCCACAAAACTGGAAACAAAGCAGAGCAGGCCAGCAGGACGCAGGACACCAGGAAGATGTTCCTCAAGACTGGAGGATTGGAAAGACAGATTCCATGAGGGAAGAATTTGATTAATTAACTGAAATGAAAAACCTGAGTCAGATTGGACAACAGAAGAGTAAAACAACAAGCTATAAAGAGTTTGATGGAAATCCTGCAGAAAGAACGCAGAGTTAGAGACAGAGACATCAGCCGCACCATCATTTAGGCTGATTAATAGTTTTTATCTCTATGGTTTGATGCATTCAGAGATTCATTTAGCAACGCGCTAAACGCTGGGCGTAGGTTTGCATAGGGACCATAGGGACATGTCCCTACCAACATTTTGGACCAACCTATTTGTCCCTACCAATAATTCGGTTTGAATAACATGTTTATAATTTAAAATTCAGCGTGGTGGATCCCAGCCAATTCTTTTTCTCTCGCAGCTCCGCAGCTTTAGTAGCTGCTGCTGCCGCTCCATCTGAGTCCTGTCCCTTAAATAAGTAACTGTGCTGTTTAGCTCCACTCTCATTGGTTGTTCGGCCTCAAGTTCCGCCTTCTCTCTTCCTGATTGGCTGTTTTCTAGTCCGTATGCGTGTGTTTGTGCTCGGAGCACGAAATAAGAATTTTATTCACGCTAGTTACTTCAAATAATATTAGGCTACGAAACTAGTCCTAATGAAAAAACTTTATTCCATCTACACTAAAACAGGCGAAAGCTGCTGATTGCTGATTCTTAGCCACAGCTGACTGAAAAAGAAAATGTGAGGGTTTCCCTTTTAACAATAATTCATTGAAGTTACTGTTCTCGTTTTATTACGACCCTTTGAGGCAGTTCAGCTACAAACAGCAGGTGTTATTTCTTTTATAGAGAATAACGACACGAGATGGCGCCTAAACATCTGCTATTTTTTGTTTAGAAAGTATAATTACAGTTCCACATAATATTTCTTTGACTATTTCTACTTTTAAAAATAGGATAAAGCCAATAACAAACAGAGGAACAATATTTACATCGATTTTATTTTACATAGATTTCCACACAGTCCATACGTTAATTAGTACAAACATTAGTGTTTGGTAAAAATGCTTGAATTTTTATTTTTGGATATTATTACATTATAGACAAGATGTTGTTATATTTTCTTTTAATAATTGTTAAGTGATTTTATATTGGAATAAATTTAGTCCCATTCTTAGTGTTGTTTTTTTTTTAGATGATGCCACTAAATGTAAATACAATAAATGTATTTGTGTTCCTTGAATGTGTTATTTTGTGTTGGTTCATGATACAGAGAGAGCATTTAAAAAAATAAGAGTGATTAACCTGTTTACCTCTGCACAATTCTATATCTTCCAAAGAAAATACAGGATAAATCCACATATAACAGACATATTTAGACTATATTTGGTTAAGTTAGCACATATTTAACTAATGTTTTAATCACTGGTAAGTTTAAATGCAAACCTTTTCAAAGTGGAAATAAGTGTAATTCCATATTCATCAGAGCCAGTGATGCTTCAAACATTGATAAACAGCATCTAGTGTGTGTAGTGCTAATAAAATTAGTATACATGTAGCAAGAAATGCTGCTTTTCTCTTTAAACCAAATGCACCCTGATGCTCACGTCAAGCATAAAAAAGCATGCATGTTTTTGCATAAGGTAAGTAAAATGACATTAATGAAAATTAGGAGCAATAGTGTCCCTACCAAAGTGGAAATCAAAGCTACGCCTTTATTTAATTTAATGTTTTCTTAGATTTATTTCTAAAGGATTCTGATGACTCGTTTAAGAAATGCTCTTCAAGAGTCGTCCTAAAAACAAACAATGGCCGCACATATCAGGGATCAGTTACGCTGACGCCACAATAACCGCCATCAGCCTTATGAAACCTGCATCGCTCCATCTCTGATAGGGCTGAACGATTCTGCCAAAAATCTGAATTGCGATTATTTTCAACAAATATTACGATTTTCCTTTGCACTAAGCACAACCATGTTGATGTTTTATTCCAGGGATTCAGTTTTTCCATGAAAGTCTGCTGGTCCAGAATCCAGTGTTTCTGTACTTTAACCTTTGCATGAAGAAGTTCTTCCTTCTACTATAATGCATAGATCTAGGTGCTAGAGCTGCTCCCTGCTGTGTGACAGCATGCCCACTTTAATCGTATTACCGCCACCTACGGGGCTGGAGGGAGAAGTTAAGTTAAATGTATTGTGACTAAAAATTGTGCCTCTGCAATATGAAAATTGCATTTTCCTAAATTGCGATTATTTTGCAAAGATAATTAATTGCCCAGCACTCATTTCTACGAAGAAATTTTCCCCTGTTTTCAGTTAGAACATTAGTAAAGCTGCACATATGAAAGCCGCCTTCAACATCAGACATGTGGGTGTTTTAGACTTTAGTCAGAAGACAGAAACTCCTATAATTTAGGAAGAAGAGAGTTTACATATAAGCCAAAATGATACCAGAATGTAGATGAAAAAAAAAGTATACTGAGATATATTATATATTTATCTATTTTAGTCTTTAGAAACACCTTTTAGGCTATCTGGATTAGATTTAAAACATAATAAATCCAAACATGTGCCCTACTAAAGGTTTTAGATCCACTGAAACATCTCATAGGGAAGCAGAAACAGATCCATCAGACTCCAACATGTCACACCTGTAGCTTCTCTCCTGCGTGGATCAGTTTCTTTGCAACTTTTTGTCCCTTTTAGGCGACGGCAGCTCTGCTCATTAAAGGCTCCAAATTAAAGGTGAATTATTATTTTAGCTCAGGGGTAACCAATTAATAATTAGTGGGGTCCAAATAAAGAAAATCAACCAGTAAATGTCCGGAGACATTTTTAATTATATTGTTACTTTAAACAGAATTTAACACTGAAATAAAATTATGTTTATTTATGCCTCCATGTTATACATTGACTTTTTAAAAAGTAAAAATTTTTTGAAGTAGAGAACAACAATCGTTCAGTTTGGTTTATAGACAATTTCCTGATTCCCATATTTTCTCAAACCCCTGAACTAATCGTTTGTTATTTTCTTTCTTTTTTCTGTCTTAATGTTGGCAGTGGGCTTTATGCTGCCCTGCAAGGCTTTAAACCTGGGTTTAACCGGAGACTAAGCCATTCTCAAGCACATATCAAGGAGCTCATTTTGAGCCTGGATCCAGATTTATTGTTGATTCTGTTCATGGTGGAGAATCCTGCTTCCCAGCAGCAGGTTGAGCCAAACATCCTCTAAATGTTCAGGGTCATCTTTGAGCACCATTTCACTTTTCTTTCACCAGTTCACCGCAGTTCTTCCAGCAGTCCACACTTTCTCTGCTCTCTTTTTCTCATGGTCTTCTCCTTCTTTCCCATCGCCCGGCTTGCCACAGGTTTGCCTGCTGTGTCTAAAAGTAGCAGCAGCAGCAACCCAGACTGACAGCAGCTCATTGGCTCATTTGGATCACGTGCAGCCTGGAGCCGGACGCTCCCCAGGGCTTTACCGTATTAACAGGAGAAGAGGAGCAAGTGAAATTAGACACTGTTGTCGGACTACATGCGGTAATTTATAAATGTTTTAAATCAGGTTTGGTCTGGATCCGGACCGCGGTCCTCTACTCAATGACCTCTGGTATAAAGCCTGGAACTCAACGCTATTTCTGAGAATTTTGAATTGAAAAATCTTCCTGGATGGGAAGCGAAACATCTATAAACTTGGAAACAAAGTCCAGCGGACTGTTCTTTAACTTTTTTTGGAATCTCTTTAATGTATTTATTATATATTTGACGCGTATTTGCTTTACCTTACAGTAATTAAGGTAAAATGAACATAACCTAGAAGCTTCACACAAGCTGGAGAACCAGCGAAAGCTGAGATTAGTTTCTTTATTTACTCACATCGATGCAGGTGACTCCAGGCAGGAAGGAAGGCCAGGTAGAGGGCTGTGTCGCCCACAGTGGGGTAAGACTTGAAGATGGAGATCACAGCTAACTGCATGAACATCAGAAACACCGGGTGATCCCTGCAGGGCGACCACCAACACGTACAGGGCGGGGGTTAGGATAAAGGACACAAACAACGATGAACAGATCAGACGGAAAGATGACTTACTTGAGTTTGATGCAGAGAGGGATGGTGTAGAAGAAAACGTTGATCTGGAAGACGCAGAGGAAGAACAGGCGGAAATGCTCAAACATCTCAGCAAAGAAGTACCAGAAGAGGCCGATGTTGGGGGTCAGGTCAGGAACCGAAAGACTGAAAGGAGAGAATAAAACCAAAACATCGGCTATTAACCTCTATGTAGATTCAAAACAAAGGTTTGTGAAACAACATTTCCAGACGGTGTTTGTTTACATTCTGACTCACATGAAGCCGTAGACGGAGGGCAGGTAGTCCCAGGATCCCAGCAGGAAGAAGGACAGACAGACGATGACAAACAAACTGCCGAGGTACATGAAGAGATACTGCACCACCAACCACCAGAAGCTGGCGCGCCGCGGGTTCACCGGGACGTACTGGTGCTAAGGGGGGAGCAGAACGTTAGGAAAGATCTCCAAACGCTGAGAACTGAGAACCAGATCCTGGACAAAATGTACCTGCATCAGATACAGCATGGCTGGAGCGCACAGCGTGAGCGGGTAGATGGACTGATACGTGGCCAGACACAGGAAGATGGCACTCAGCAGCATGTTTCCTAACAGCCAGACATTAATATTATAGGAGAACAGAAGCATAAAAAACAGGTTCTATCGTATTCTGGTGACGATTCTCAGTCATCCAGGTCATAGTTATTACAAAAAAACAAACAAAAAAACAATCCACTGAACTTTGTTTTGAAGTTTGAAGACGTTTCTCTTCCATCCAGGAAGCTTTTTCAATTCAAAATGTCAGAAATAGCGTTCAGAAGTTCAGAAAACATGCAGATTGGAAGAGATGAATGGGGGTCCTTTGGCTTCTTTTGATATCCTGCAATGCCCCATACCTGTCTATGTCTCTGAAAGGAGGGTCGTTAGAGGGAATAGTTGGCCTGGCTGAATAGGTGAGGTCTTCTGTTCCTCTGTAAAGCGGTTGGGATTGCAATGATAGCGGGATAGTAGAGACTTGACACAGGAGTGGATTTTCACTCCTGTCCCGTCCCACTCCCACAGAAAAAAATGGTGTCCCGTCCCGATCCCGGGCCAGAGTAGAAATCTAAATCCTGTCCCGTCCCACTCCTGGTGAAATTACTCCCACTCCCATCCCGCTCCCATTCAGAATGACTCCCGCTCCTGCACCACTCCCTTTCTTGTTGTCTTCAATAAGATTTCTGCCAATACATTGAATCTGAATTTCTTTTGAGCGTGGGTGAAAAACTGAGAGCGGAAGCACTGTTGGTTTTTGGGTCATGTAGTTTTTTTTGACTCGCGTTATAGTGTAGGCTTCAAGGATAGAAACTACAAAATGGCGGTGCCAGTACTGGATTTTTTTTTCTATTTTATTTTATTTTTTGGCATCGATCCTAGTTTTTTTTTAATTACTATTGGTTTCCTCCCGCTCCCGTCTGCTCCCGTTAAAGTTTAATCCTGTACCGTCCCAATCACGTGATCGTTACTAATACTGACTCCCATCCCATTCCCGAAAAAATGTCAGTCTCTAGCGGGAAGGAATCAACTCTATTGCTGCATTGTAGGTTTTTGAAAGCTTAACCCTGAGTCCAACCACTGTGTTTAAATTCAAAGGAATTCTCCCAAGTGGTGCCCGACTTTATACGAGTGAATAAAGGGAATCTGATTGGTCCTTTATCAAGAATGAAAGGTTTTTCTTTCTTAACATAGATGGCTTCCTTCCTCTCAAACCACCTGTCTTCTTTGTCCCAAAATGTGAAAATTCTGGTCCTCCAAAGAATGTCCTTTGTTCATCAGGTGTAGATGTACAGCAGAGTCTTGTCCAGAGGAGGGCGCTCTTCTGTGTTGGGCCATGCGTCTGTGGAGAGGTTGTTTGGTTTCTCCAATATAAAGATCAGAGCATTCCTGCCTGCATTGACCTGCAGACACCACTCTGCTCAGATCAGGTCTTTAGGATGAACTAGTCTCTGTTTCAGGGTCTGTTTTGTGTTTGGAAAAAAAACTTATGAGTTTTTTTCAAAGACTCCAGCAACATATGGGATGGAGATGTTTTTGCGTTTAATCTTCTCACCGTTTCTTTCTGCAACATGTTTTTTTGGATTTCCTTGCTGATTTAACAAACGCCCAGTTTGGGTATCCAAAGGTTTTTGAGAGCATCTTTGATGTGTTTCTGTTCTTTGTGCTTCCGTTGTTTTAGTACGGACATGTTCTGCCCGCTGTTTTAAGGTTCTGATGACTGAGAGTTTGTGTTCCAGTGGGTGGTGTGAGTCGAAAAGAAAATACTGGTCTGTGTGAGTGGATTTCCTACAGACTTCAATGTTTAGGCTTCCATCTCCTTCCCTGCTCACCAAACAGTCCAGGAAAGGTAGTTTGTTGTCGTTGGCATCTTCTCTGGTGAACTTGTTGGATAAAGCCTGGAACTCAACACTATTTCTGACATTTTTAAATTGAAAAATCTTCCTGGATGGAAGAGAAACTTCTTCAAACTTGGAAACAAAGTCTAGAGGATTTTTTTGAAATAATGAAATAAAAACTATAGAGAAATCTTTCTAATCCTGGAGAGCATTTCTTTAACTATTTAAATGTAAGAATAATCTGCAGTCAACCTTTAATCGTTGAGAGGAGAAAGAGGGAGAGGACGGCGTTGTTCAGGCCGCAGGTGGACTTGGCAACGCAGGACAAGATGGTGAACGGGTTCAAAAGGTAACTGTAAGATGAAATAAAACAGAATGGCTACTCCTCAAGCCGCATCAATCTGGACAGTTTGAGCGCCCCCTGAAGGAGCTGGAGGTACTTACAACATGGCTACTTTCAGGGGGATGTAGAACATTTCTGTGGGGCTCCTGATGAGCTCCAGACAGTCGGCAGGATAGCGATTCGCCTCCAGGGCAAACTTCTGCTTTCTGAACTGAAAGAGAAATGGCGAGATGCCTAATATTAGCATCAAACACTCACTGAGGCCATCTAGTGGTGAATAAAATATTCTACAGGGAAGATTTGTCATATAAAGCTAGACAAATAGGTACAGCTATAACTGCATTCAGCTTATGTGAGGTAACCTTAGTAAAAATGGTTGCTTCAAGCTAATTTATTTTTATTTTTTTAAAGTGCGTCTCATTTCAATAATGCCACCTTATTTGGTGAAATCTGACTACTGAACAGATGAAAATTTCCTCTTCTGGATTTCCCTACTGCCCCCCCCCCCCCCCCCCCCCCCCCAAGACTCATGCCATGGTATTCATTAAGAGTGCTACACTCACTTTGAATTGGATCTTTAAGCTCCCTGTTTAATAAAATCCCGTAGTTATAAGGCAACAAATTCTCCCAAAATTTCGTTTACTTAATATATTTAGCATTTTCTCACCACTTGCTTGTTGTAGTGCTTCACTGCCATGTAAAGAGCAACGGCTGTGATCACGTCCGCCAGCTAACAAGAGAGAAGCAGAAAACAATAACTGAAATCATCTAACAATCAGATTTTTTTTCTTCTTTTTCACAGTGCAATTATTTTTGCTCTCTTACCATAAACGTGATTTCTGCATAATCCACCAAGAAGTGAAAGAGGTAAATAATGAGAGGCGTCTGGATGGAAAAAAAGAAAGAAAAGTTGCAGAAACTGTGATAAAATTCAACGCCATGCTTCATTTTGGCACTGTGTTTGTTTGCATTCATAAAAAATGAAATAAACTATGATTTGAAAACATTCTAATCCACTTAAATGAGATAAATAAGCGAAGCGTTTTGCTGACTCACCTCGTGGAAAACATCCCCAGAATATGGTGAAACTCCCAGATCAAGCAGAGCTAAACCTTCAATAACTGACAGGAAAAACACATAATGAGGAATCCAAGAAAAAATATGAGCTTATGGCAAATTATATTCAGCCTGAAACTGAACACAATGAGTTTATATATATATATATACACACACACATACATATGCATAAAGTTATCATAATATGACAATAAAGAATATATATATATATATATATATATATATATATATATATATATATATATATATATAAATATTTTTTTTTTATTTATTTATTTATTTATTTATTTTTTATTATTAGGGATGCACGATATAATCGGCCCCCTATCGGTATCGGCCTTAAAACTGAATATCGGCCACCCCACAGATATTTAACCTGATATTTGATCAGCTTCTGAGTTTCTAAAGTCTAAAACAAATTAAAAAAATACTACTTCTTCTTCTTCCTCAAAAACTTATTTTTTACAGACTTAAAAACTTCTAAAGACGAGGGAAAAAATATTGATACATTAAAATATCCCAATATCTTCATTTGCTGATATATTGCCATTTAAAAACACCATATCAATCTCTTTACTAATGAAATATTGCTATATGTCATCGTTATGCTACGAAATCCCCCGGATATTCAAAAAATGTTGCCATATTTTTATATGTTGATATATTGACGCGGTATCGATCTATTTTACTAACAAAATCTCACAAGAATTTGCAAAATATTACGAGAGCTTTCAACAGAACGATGAAATTTCACGAGATTTTGAAAGTAAAATAGATAGATACCGCGTTTTTAAAAACCTATTTGATATCAGCATATGAAAATATATTTGAGTATATTATTTTTCAAAGTGTCAGAAATGGATAATAAAACTGCTATTTTCAATGACTACTTATTTTTGTCCAGCTTTAACATCAGTATCAATATCGGTTATCGGCTACATGAGTTTTAAAATATTGGCATATCGGATATCGGCCAAAATCCCGATATCATGCATCCCTAATAGATATATATATACATATACGCACACATATGTTTTGTCACAAGCTTTGAAGTTTTTGGCTTTAATTGTTTGGAAAATAGATAAATACAATTCAAAAGAGAATTTCTGTTTATTTAATTCTGTGGAAGTGTATTTAAAAACTGAAAAATAAAAGTTCTAAATCTAACATTGATGCTTTACAAACTTTTCACACAAAAGATCTTAAGTGTGTAAAATTGATGTATTTTAAGTTACTTTGAGGAACGGAATCCATGTTTGGGTCTCAATAAAATGGCTATCTATGATTATAAAGATCTCCATAAAATATATTTGAAGTTTATATGGGGATGTACTGTTCTAATACTGATTTTAGAATATCAGCTAAAACATGAATATTGGAATATTATATAGAAAAATAAACAATCTGTAGCCTGGCATTAATACTCCATCAGGTCATCGGGCACCAACATGAGCAGCCCTACCATCCCTTCAGTTCTTTATTGATCCATTTCTCTGTTTAAACCATTAAAAATGCGCGTTAATATTTTATTAATCAAACATAAAATATTAAAACCGGTAGCAAATTTGATCGTATAAAACATGTATATGTTAGATTCCATATCCCTGCTACATGTTAAAGCAGATGAACCGGTTTGACTTGAGCGCGGTGCCTGGAGCAGAGAGGAGCTGCAGGAGTTTACCATCAACCAGGGGCCCCAGAGCACCGCTCCGACCCGGCTTACCTCTCTTCCAGGCGGTGATCGGAGACACAACCTCCACCCTCTCTGCGATCAGCTCCGCTAAACTGGATCTGTAGAGAGCCGCGCGGATTGTGACGGCTACGATCAGAAGCAGAGTCAAGGGAGCCGCCATCTTGACAAGGAAGCGCACTCCACCCGACCTGCGACAGGAATGATGGGAAATGGAGTCTTATGTAGCAAGGATAAAATATTTTTTATCAATAAACCATAATAAACTATCACGGTACCCCTTTGCTATCCTCTCTGAGAGTATTTTTTCATGTAAATGTTTGTTGACTTAATAAAAATAAAATAAATAAAGTAAATTCCAGTTAAGAATACGCAGACAGGAAACAAAAATAAAGATTATATCACCGAAATGCTAAAAAAAAAAAAAAAAAAAAAAACATATATATATATATATATATATATATATATATATATATATATATATATATATATATATATATATATATATATATTGTTTTGTTTGTTATAAATGAAGATATTTATTTCAAATGTTTATTTGAAAAATAAAGGCGACACCTAAAAAAACAAAAACGGAACCCATAATCGGTCTTTGTCAGACACGTGACTGACACGCCCCCTAGCGCCATTTTTGTGGTGAGCGGAAGAAAAACAAAACAGCAGAAAACAAGAGGAGAGCGCTGCAAGCAGTGAGGATTATCAGTTAAATGGAAAAGAACAAGAAAACTGAACGGATACCCTTGCCAGACAAACTTTCTAAAGCTGCTAGGGAACGATATTATATATTATTATTACAGTGACAAGGCAGATGTTGTGGGCAGTTGCACAGATCGCTGCAGTTATTAGAGTAGTTTGTGCTGCTCACCAGACTGAACGGAAAAACTTGTCAGAATTTTTGCACATTGATAAGTTGCACACTGTATTTGCTGTTCACTTTACCCAGGCCTGTTTTCACTGGGATCTGCAGTCTTCTTCACAGATATCACCTGTTAGGTCATATCTCTACGGAAGACCACAGTGAAAACAAGTCCAGGGAAAATGAAAATCTTCTAATTTAATCTAAAGAGCAATCTGCTATATACGAGGGAGGAAGACAAAGTAAAACATTTGAAGCTTTGCACTGTTCTGCATTATTTATGTATTTGAGGTTTTGTATTGCATTTTCATAAATTCTCTGCTTGATTGAAAAGATAATAACAACGCTTGTTTCAAATTTCAAACTCCACTCTTTATTGTACACACATTTTTACAACTTCAGAAACATTGTTAATATTTGAAGTGATGGTGAAACTTATATTTGTTTTGCTGTTATTTTTCAAAAGTAACTTTAAAAAAAGCAAAATTCTATTTGTGTGAAAAGAAGAATAAAAAAAGAAGAAAGTTGAAACAGTACTTGATCTGGCATTCATTTATTAGCTGGTTTCTCTGTGAAAATTTCAAAACAGTCACTAATCACTGTGACTCTATGTCCAAAGGTCTCCACAAACGGATGAGGCATAATTTTGTGCAAGGTGTCTCTATCTGGCCACACAAATGCACGCTTTAGATTTGCATATAAAAATGACACCATTTCATTGAATGTTCTGTACACTGTCTTTGGTGAAACACGGAAGAGATAAGCAAGGTGTTGTGAGGGCAGATCCAATCTCAGACGCATGAAGGTTAACAGAAGCATTTGAAATGGACTGAGAATTTTATTTTGAGCAGACATGAGAGGCAGCATAAAATTAAACAAAGCCATAAAGGTCACCAAGTTTGGTAGACCCGTATAGTACTGGACTTTTTCATTAGTGTCTCCAAAGAAGCAATCAGAGATCCGCAGCTCATCAAGTTCACGCCGCAGCTCTCTGTTTTCTTCCAAAAGATGGTTCATCTCTGCACACCTGAGCACACACAGGTTACATTCTGTCTGTCCTTCCTGACGACCACCTTCTGTGTCATCCTTGGTGTTTGGCCGGCCAACGTTTTCAGCAGCCTTCTGCGTGTCAGTCTGTTGCTGGTTAGGGTTCTCTGTCGCCTCATGTGTTACTTCATCCTGTTGCTCAAGGATTTCATCAGCCTGATGGAGCCCCGTTTCAGTTGCTTGCAGGGCATTCTTTTTCAGCTGTTCCCGATAACCCCGTCTTAAAGAGCGGTCTGTGTCTGTTGGTTTGATGTCAGTGTGGCCCAGATGCAGGGATGGAGCCCAGTCTGGGTCAGTCTCCATCATCTCATATGCGGGTTGACCTGCAAAGTAGATGAAAGGTTGAGTGTTTTACACATCTATTCAAAACACCATATAAAGCACCTAAATAACAGAGCCCATTAGATTAGATGTGTAATAAATTAAGATAACCTTATGTGTCCCACAGTGGGGAAATTTGCTATACCGAAACAGCACAAGTACATCGGACTAGTAAGGCCAGAGGTAAATAAATAAACTGAAAAGCTTACAGACGAACAAAGGATTATAATATACTTAAGTAGATTGCACAGGATAAATAAATACAGTGAGTTGGCTGACGAGTGGGTATGTACAGTGTTTTTATATGTACACTGTATTTACATATATTTATTCATTTAAAAAAAAAATTGTATTGCAGATTGTGTAAATGATTATATACAGAGAATGCATTATTTATTAAATTTTAGCAGTCTAAAAAAGAAATAAACAAAACAAACATCACTTTCCGCTTCTCTTCCACAGCATGTTTCAGTAGGTTTACATGAACTCCTGCAACTTTATAAGCAAACCATTTCAGCGTGTTGATTTCTATTAGTGTATATTTATAAGGACTTACCTTTTGAAAATGCCGAGAGCAAACACGAGCATGAGGAGATATTTTATGAAACGTGATGTCTTTCCTTCTTACAGCAGCGACCCATGCAGCCCGACGCCTCTTTGTTAAGTCCTCTGTCTGCGGTCCGTATTTTTTTTTTCCAAGTGGGGAATACGAAAACCGTACGGCCCCATCTGCTGTTTTCTGTTTAGAATTACTGTTGCATCCTTTGACGCAGCACCAGTGTCCCATTATTTCCAACGGAAGCAACTAGAACACCTCTACTCTCTGTTAGTTTTCTGTTGTTAGTTGCTGCTGTCTCTTCACCACAGAAATGGCGCTAACTACCCTAAATGCATTGCGCTTTTGCGGAAGTGACGCACACTGTCAAAGACCGATTCTAGCAAGTGTTCTTCTTCTTCTTATGGGATTTTATGGCGGTTGGCAGACTTGTGAATTGTGCATTACCGCCACCAACTGATATGGAGTAAAGCAAGATAACAGGAAACGATTCACCCCCCCCCCAAAAAAAAAAAAAAAAAAAAAAAAAAAAACCTGTGTAACTTAAACCAACATAATACTAAATCACATTTGCCCATATAATTTTAATTTACTCTAGGTCATCTTAACTCTGCCAGTTTCTGATGGTCCCATCGGTCCTCCCATCATACTTCCAACCATCTCCCAGTTCAAATCTTTAATGTCCAGATATTTTTCTGCAGCCTTCACTATTATTTTGATTTTTTCCGTTTTTTTTGTTGTCTGTGCAGTACAATTAATTACTTCTACCATGAAAAGAACAAAATTTGTCTTTTTAACAATAAGTGAGTCTTCATTAATTTTTGGAGATTTCTCTAGAGGTTTGGAATTTGCTGTGTGTTGAACTGTAGGTTTGGGTTTTTCTGACTGAGATGGGATCCTTTTTGCAGCTTCAGCGTAGGTTATTCCGAGCTCAAATTTCATTTTTTTAATTTCCTCAGACCTTTTGCTTGCTTCACAGCCGCGATAGGCAGCAGTATGTTCTCCACCACAATTACAGCATTTTATTTTAGCTTCTTTTCCACATTTTCCGTACTCATGTTCTCCTGCACACCTTCCACACCTCTGTTTCCCTTTACAAACTGCTGCAACGTGACCGAATTTTTGGCATTTGAAACATCTCAATGGTGGAGGATTGTAGATTTTGACATTATAGCTTATGTAACCGATGAATACTTTGCTTGGTAATTGCTCTTCTTCGAATTTAATTAGCACAGATAAACTGTCAGATCTTTCTCCGTTTCTTGTTGTTTTTAACCGTTTTACTTCTTTTACTTTTGCACCGCTTATGTTTTCCAGAATCTCTTTTTCAGAAATTTTTAGAGGAACTCCTCCAATGACTCCCCTGCTGATCTTTTTGTTCTCCATTAGGCTGCACTGAACTCTTATCCCGTCAATTTTGTTGATACGTATTGCTTTGCCTTGCTGGGCGCTGTCTCTGCAGTTAATTAGCAGGTCTCCACTGTACAGAATTCTGGCACCTTTGACTTCTCCGACAAGTTTATTGATGGTTTTTGTTAAGTGAACCGGATTCCAATTTGTAAAAGAGTCTGCCTGATTAACGACTTTGAATATGACTTTGAATTCATTTTGTTGTGCTGTGGAATGTATGGAATGATCATCACTGGATTGTTCTGAACTAGATTCCCCTTGAACTGATCTCTGTTTTTTCCGCTTTTTCTCATTTTTTGATGTTGCTATTTTCCAACCTTCATTGTCACTATTTCCCTCTTCCATCCCACAAGAATCGCTTCCTGTTTCCTCACTACTCACGGCCCAAGACATTTCTCCATAAGCAGCTTCAAAACACGCGCCATGCACCAAACGACCATCCACCGAGCCTCCTTCTAGCAAGTGTTTTCCTCCTGAAACTTTATGTGTTGCTTCAAAACAAAACCAACAACACTCTGTCAAGTTTCAAAAAATAGATTAACAGCATTTGTTCCCGACATTTCTTTTGGACTAAAATAAGAGTTACTTAAATCAGAACGCGTTTAATTTTGCTTAAATCAGTAGCTTTAAAGGGCATGACCTTTTATAAATGAATGTATATTTTTTAAACCAACATAAGGAGACACCAAAGACCTTTAACGGTTAGCTCCTTATTAAAAACCTCCCCAATGCCATTTGATAGTATCATTACTTTTAGTGTTTTTTTACAAAATGTTTTTTTATTCATATAAAGTTTCTTGTTCGCTTGATATATTTGTACTTTTGTAAGATTTTTCAAAAATCTATTTTTTACCATCATAGGGTTAGGGTTAGTCAATTATATTCTGTCGCTTTTATTTTGAAGTTTCCTGACAGGAAGTGGAAGCGGTCGCTGTCAGACCTCAGTGAAGGCTTTCGTTTTCCTTTCTTCTGTGTTGATGTTGCGCTGCTTTGGGCAGATTGGGGGAAAATGGCCGGTTTAGAGGTGCTGTTCACCTGTGTCGCAGATAAAATCAGGTGTCCGCAGGACGCCGTAGTTTGCTTCGTTCACTGGGAAATGATCAAAGATGGATACCGGTGCATCGGATCCGGAGACGAGGTGAGGAAAAGAAACGGCGGTTAAGAGAAAAAATAAAGAAAATAATTCAATGAATTCATCTTAGAATGTTCTCTGTTGATGAAAATCACAATGGTTCAATTATTCTGACCTCATTTTGTCATTTTTTTCTGGACTGTTGAGGTTAAATCGGGTCTCTTTAACTTGAGGAACAAAAACTTAAAATATATTTTAGTGACTTAGAATTTGCCAAATAGAAGAAACGATTGAAAAGAGTTTGAAAAACTTTATATAATCCGTGATTAAAGGTTAGCTGTCCAATGACAGTCAGGAAGAAATTAAACTGCGTTATTTCTACGTAGTTCTGAGCTATTAGCTTAGCTTTAGCTTCACCCATTTATGGTAATGGTAACATTATCAGTCAGATCAATATATTAATGGTTATATTATAAATCAGATCAATATCACACTTGTTTAGTTTGGTCTGTTTCATTCTGTCTCATCCATTTATTTGGCTTTAAGGCTAAAAACTAAATTGTAAAAAAAAAAATGTCAGGTCATGTTTCTGATATGAGGCTCCGTTTGTAAAGTTAAGCAATCAAAAATAAGGAGCAATATTTATTTAAATTTAGCGTGTTTTAAGAGAGAAAAGAGGGGGTTATTTTTCCCCAATTCATTTATTCACTGACATTTTTAACAATTTTGCTTTGTTAAATAAGTATTTTGTTTGGAGCTAAATATTTAGTTTTCAAATTAAATATTCAGTTTTTTAATAGAAATATTTATCTTTAAACTAAATAATTAGTTTATTAAGTAAATGTTTAGTTTTTTTATATAAATATTTATCTCCAAACTAAATAATTAGTTTGTTGAATAAATATTTAGTTTTATTATATAAATCTTTATCTTTAACTAAATAATTAGGTTGTTGGATAAATATTTCGTTTTTTATATAAATATGTATCTTCAAACTAAATATTAAGTTTTTTAAAGAAATATTTAGTTTTTTATATAGATATTTATCTTTAACTAAATATTTACTTTGTTAAATAAATATTTTGTTTTTTAAAGAAATATAAAAAATTTTATATAGATATTTATCTTTAACTAAATATTTACTTTGTTAAATAAATATTTTGTTTTTTAAAGAAATATTAAATTTTTTATATAGATATTTATCTTTAACTAAATATTTACTCTGTTAAATAATTATTTATTTATTGAGTTTGCTAAAGAAATATTTAGCTCAAATTAAATATTTATTTTACAAAGTAAGATTTTCATAAATGAATAAATGACGTAGTGAATAATGACTTGGAAAAAATTACCCCGTTATTTTTCTATTAAAACACGCTAAAATATATCAAAATTAAAAAAAAATTTACTTTGTTAAATAAGTATTTTGTTTTGAGCCAAATATTTAGTTTTCAAATTAAATATTTAGTTTTTTATATAAATATTTATCTCACAACTAAATAATTAGTTTGTTAAATAAATATTTATTTAAGAAGCTAAATATTTAGTTTGCAAATTAAATATTTTTTTGTTTTTACTTAAATATATAGCTCCAAATTAAATATTTATTTAACAACGTAAGATTTTTTTTATAAATGAATAAATTACATAGTGAATAAATGACTTGGAAAAAAATAACCCTGTTATTTTTCTCTTAGAACACGCTAAATAAACATTATTATTGCACCGAATTTTGGACTTCTTAACTTTACAAACGGCTCCCCATATTCTGATTGAGTGCGTCTTTTGCCGTCGCCTTTTTGGAAACACAGGAAGGAGCAATCAGCTAAGTGAGCTTAGCGCTTGGAAAAAATCTTTCATTCCTTTAGAGACAGCATGAAAAGTCAGCTGAGTACAAAACATAGAGAGGAAAACAAGAAGAAAAGGGACAAGAAGAGAGGGACACAACCTAGAACAGATAATGGATGTCTATTCTATTAACATTTCTCTATCTGTATAATGGGTCTGTTCTATGTGTTGTCTTCTCAATTCAGAGGGCCCCCTGCCTGTCTTTGCCTAGGGCCCCACATTTCCTAAATCCACCCCTGATAGTTGGTACATAATATATAAAATATGTGGACAGCAGCGTTGCTGGGAAGCAGACTGTTAAATATTGTAGCTGTGATGATGTGTCTTCCTCTCCTTTTCTATCCCTACAGCCTCGCAGCAGTGATAAGAAGTCAGAACTGCTTCCTGCTGACTGGAGTTCCAACAAGGAGCTTTACACTCTGCGCTATAAAGCCAAGGATTCAGACACACAAATGGTCCTAAAAGCCATCACCATGGACTCCACACTGATCTTAAACTTAATGGTAACTAAAAAAAAAATAAATAAATGAGGGTAATCCTTTCATGTGTGAAATAAAAATTTTTGCAATTAAAACTAGATTACCTGATGGTGTTTCTGTACATTATTTTAGTAGATGGAAGGTAATAGGCATATATTCCTGGATAACAGCTGATTGTCTTTGCAGAACTCCAGCACAAAGCAGGTTTCAGACTTGATGGTGAACATCAGTGATCACGTGAACCCAGATCAGCTGCACACATTCGACAGGTTGGTGTTTGATGAGTTTTGTTTAGTGATGGTGATTGAACCGTTTGGCTAAATTGCTTCAAAGATCCCTACAGTTCATCAAGCCTCATGTGTACATGTCACCACCTACTGGTGGAAAGCAGAACTACAGGTAGTAATTGTGATTTTTTTTTTTTTTTTTTGGCAATTATTTTTTTATGTTTTGTTTTTTTCTCCATGTTAAGTTACTTTGAAATTGTTCATGATTGATGTGTATAATAATATCTTTTGTTAATTTTTTTGTGCGTAAAAAGAGAAAAATCATTTAAAGTCGTAGGTAGGTCATATTTAAATGTCAAATCGTTCTGGCTTAAACATGTATATAAATTTACTCTATCAATTTCTATTTTTAAAAAATCCTGTATTACAATCTGTGTTATTTCCTGTTATCTTCTGCAGGCCAGTTAGTTCTACGTCACCCTGAACACCTAAATTCGGCCAATCATATATCAACAGTCATCTGTCAATCAAATGTTTTCGGTCATAGCATCTTGATTCATATGTCGCAGCTAATATACGCAACGGTTGAAATAAGAATCATTTTACTGGGATGGACGTCTGTGTCTTCAGCAGGCGTAGAGCTAACAGAACTGGCAGCGTTGCGAGGCAAGGGCTCAAACATGTACGGCTGGAAGCCTTCTACACCAAACCAAGCTTCTGCCGCCCTGGCGTCCTCTTCCACAACATCTTCGTCCCCGCTTTCCTCCTCTGAATAAAAAATGGATGATGTAGGAGACTCATCCACGACCTCCGACACTAAACTCTCCTCCTCTTGCATGTTTCCTCTGTCCATAGCGTTCCTTGACAGCGTCGTTTCTAAGTCACCAATTTAGTGCTACTTGGTCCCAGTTGAAATTTCCCATTGGGAACCTACTAGCAATAAGTTGCTAACTGGTTAGCAAGATGCTTCCGACAAACCGGCAACAACCAAACTTGCTTTAGAACCTTCCGCTATAACAACCCCGCCCCCTTGATAAACAACCAATCACATTCACTTTATTCACTCGTGTAAAGTCGGGCTGTGGTTTTTCCAGAGTTTTTGGTTTTAATCAGGTTGGAAGATTTATGTTCAACCAATCTTTTGGTTAAATTAACCAATCTAATTTGCAGTGTTTTTACCCAATCTATATTTGGCCCCTCCCCTAAATGAAGCAAGCCTCGATATGCGCTTCGGGGAAACGCCCCCTCCATTACTCGACGCTCACCCTGCAGCCTCGGCTAATCTCATAACATCACTAGTTTTGTTTGTTCCCACCATCGAAGTAATTCAGACCCAAAAAGTTTTTTATGTTCTTTTTTTAAGCTAGGTTTATTTAATTTTGAGTATAAACATGTGCAATACAAATTGAATATGAATAAGTACTGTAATTATCATCACCCACCCCTTGTAGCCCCGCCCCCTCTGGCTTCATTCAGAAGATGGAATAACCCAGAGCAAAAACAGAGGAAAATAAAAAGATGTAGTATAATAATGATAATAATGAATAGATTAATAAAAGAAGATAGATAAATAAATAAATACAGAGAGTGGGTTAAAGGGGAACGCCGTTTTTTTACATTGGGCCTTGAGTTATTACATCATGTTCTACTCACCCATATGAGTTTTGTGTCATTTGGGTTAAGGTTAGAGTTGAATGTATTTCAACAACTAATTTAGACACGAAAGTATTTTAACCTTCTTTCCTTCATAGACGTCTCCAGATTAAAACCTCTCTTTCTTTAAGTGTATATAAAGATGCAGACAGTTTGGCACAGAAGGTGAGGACTCAGCTGCTGCCGTCCCAAGAGAAACAAACAGCCGGACCAGAGAGGAAGAACAGAAGAGAGGAAGATGAGGAGTCGCAGCGAAGAAGAGAGTCGGACAGCGACCCGCTCCGAATGCCCAGCAGACACCCTCGGCAGGGAGTTCAGCCTCACTGGTAAGAACAGGAAACTGGGACATGTTTTTACAACATTCTGCTCAATATTCACAAATCAGCTCCATGTTGTTAATTCAGTTTAAGAAAAAAAACAACCTGGAGAATAAATCTATAATCAGTCTTATCGCCTTGTGAATTGGATCCTATTTGGGAGAGAAAGTCCAGATTTTATTTATTAATCACTTTCAAATATAGTAGTAAAGGTTGATATTCTTCACCATTATGGGATGTTGGCCCCCAGGAGCCACTTGGTCCCTGAAAAGGTCCCTTCCAGCGCTGAGGGAAGGATGTCGCTGCAAACAGTAAATTCATTTAGTAAAACCACAATTTAGAGAAGAAAGAAGATGGATGTTCTGGTCATCTTAGTGGGCCATCAGAGCCTGAGATCTAATTCCTCAACCCCCCCCTTAGGTCTCATTCCTGAAGGCAGGAGACTGTTAGCAGCTTAGCAAACCCACCGTGGATGACTGGAAGGATTATTCTGTAGATACAGGGGGGCCAAAAAGTATTTGGTCAGATTGTGTAAGTTCTCCTACTTAGAATGATGAGAGGTCTGTAATTTTCATCATAGGTAAACTTCTATGTAAGATGAAATGAGAAAAAAAATGTAGAATGGACCAATCAGAGGCTTCCTGTCTGCGCTCACCTAGAATTTTGGAGAGGAGCATATCTGCGTTCACTGCGACACACGCAGACCACCTGGTTTCTGAGAATAAATCAGGATCCAATTCACATCATGTCATCTCAGGTCACAGTTCACCAGATCATCCAGTCAGATTGATTCAAAGTTTTCTATCTAAGGAAAACCAGCTGATTGCATCGACTCATTGACTCTTCAGCAATCCCTCACACTAAGCATGCTTGTAGCGACAGTGGAGAGGAAAAACTCCCTTTGAACAGGAAGAAACGTCCAGCAGAACCAGGCTCAGTGTGAGCGGCCATCTGCTGAGGCCCACTGGGGTTCAAGGAGACAGAAGCAGACATAGAAAAAGAAACATAGATACAAAAGGCAACCATCAACCAGCTCCACAGGCGGCCCCGTCCAGGAAACACACAGTCAGGGAGACGAGCTCAGAGCCAGCTCCCATGTCAGAGGATGAAGAGAGCACATCCAGTTAGTCACAGTCAGAGAAACAGGACTACACTGGAAAACAGGCCAAGCTCCAACATCTAGAAACAAAGGTGTTGATGGCAGCAGCACAGCTGATATTTCTCTCCAGGATGGAGTCACAGCCAAACAGGAACAGACGAGGCAAGAAAAAACATTTGACCTCTGTCATTGCCAACAAAGATTATGTTACAAAGTATTAAGTTGAACCAAATACTTACTTTTCACCATAATTTACAAATTATTTTGTCTCTCATAGTTGAAGTTGAAGTAGGAGAACTTGCACAATCAGTGGCTGACTAAATACTTCTTGGCCCCACTCTAATCTAAATGTTACAAAACCTGATTAGTAAACTATAGATGTTAAAGCAAAGCTGCAATAGCTCCTTCCTTTTCTACTTTCTTATTTTCATCTAATTTATATAATATAATGCTGCATATTTACTGCGAACACAGTGTTCCGAAATAAAGCAGCACCTGGAGGAATTAAACTGGAAGCATAAGAATACAGCGACCCGCACTGATGCTGGAGGACAGATTCATTCTCTCTGCCTCACGTCCGCCTCCTCCTCCTCCTGCTGCTGCTCCTCTCCTAACCCTGACCCGATCTGACGAGATGGGACATGTCAGCACTTTATCGACCACACACTGTCGGCTCCGTTCCCCCGCAGGACAGAGAGGGAGAGAAAGTAAAGTCAGCGAGGAGGAACGTCAGGATCAACAGCAGAGAGAAACAGAAAGACGGACAGTCAGCAAAGTTCAGCAGCAGCTGCAGACAGAAAACATGGAAAGCAGAGAAGAAGAGCTCAGAACAATGACTGGGTGGAGATGGAGGAGGTGGAGATCAGCTGCATTCTAGATTTAACATCTTTTTTCACATTTTCACCTGTAATAAAAACCTCCAGAACTGCAGTTATTAGAACAGATTCAGGCGGTTCTATGATTTTCTCCATTCAAATACGCTTCACTGTAGGATGAAAAAGCTGATTAATTTCTTCTTATTTAACATCTACAGTGATGTAAGATCATTCATCTGTTTGGGAATGTTGAATAAATTTGTTAGATTAAAAAAAAATGTTTGTTGATCTTTTTTTAGGCCCGACCCGTTGGCTCCTCCATTCGCTGTTGGAGGAGCTGATCTGGATCCATTTGGGTGAGTTAGTGATGCTTAACGAGGCATCTAGAAGCCAAACTGTACAGAATACTGACACCTGCTGGACATTTAAATACACTACAGGCAGCTGATTGGACAGAATAAACTGAATTGATTTGATGACCCAGTACTAGTACTCTTTAGTGCCCCCTTGCTAGCTTTTTCAAAAATGTATGAATATTGACCATAGAAAGATCATGTATATATGTGTGTGTATATATATATATATATATATATATATATATATATATATATATATATATATATATATATATTAAAAACACTGAAATAAAATGATGAGAAATTAAGTGTTTAGGGAAAAAAAATCATTTGTTGCTCCACCCCCTCCTACCTGCCTGCTGTCTCTGACCCCCCCCCCTTTAGATCCCGTGGCGGTGGTGGGATGATAGTGGATCCGTTAAGGTCCGGGTATCCTCGCTCCGGCTTTGACCCATCCAGTGGTATACCTGACATCCTGCCACCCGGAGCCGTTCCCCCAGGAGCTCGCTTCGACCCCTTTGGACCCGTCGGACGTCACAGACCGGGGTAAGGGGCTCAGAGTTCTAACTTCATATTATTTAAAGTCGTAGGGAAGTGATTCAGAATGAAAAACTAAGAGGTAAATAAACATTATTTGGTCAAATAATATTTTATTAAACGGTTTGCATAAATCAGAAACCAATAAACATTTAGGTGAGTGATACTTAACCTCCTGTGATAATTCCTGAGTTTCTTCCGTAAAGTGGCCTGTGCGAAAAATTCTCCTACGACTGGAGAATCGGCCCGAAAAGGGGAAAAAATCCTACAGTTTACGCCCCGCTTAATAGTGGAAGAAAGTCCTGGTAATAATTCATATTTTGGAGAACTGGAATAGTTCCATTGAAACTTAAACTCACTATTTCCACCAGGCTACATAAGGAGAAATCTTTAGGAGAATAAACATAGTGACACACATTAAGAATTTATATTATTTATTAAGTGGATGTAATTAAATGAATAACTGTTGGTCACAAAACATACGACCGTGTTGAAACGGTGCATTTCAGCATATAGAACAGCAGCAATAAAGCAGCTCAGTATTCCGGCTCATTGTTGCCATGTAGCATTCAGAAACAGGATATGTTTTGAATCCTTTTCCACACCAAGACGATTCCTCAACTTTGTGTGAATCAGACCAAAGTTAGAGAAAATCTGCTCAATTGGGGCAGACGAAGCACAGACTGTGCTCTTCGATCGGGCCAGTTTCATCCTGATGGTGCGTGGTGTAGTGTACAGGGGGGTAACGAGGGGCGATCAGCCTTTAACCACCACCTCCCCATCAGGAATCAGAAGGTCGGGAGAAAATCAAACATGTTTGAAATTCAGTCGGCCATCTTGAGGTTGCATCAGAGCGTTGTGTGAGAACATGCATCATGAGCCGTGAACATCTAAACCCTGCTTCTTCGTCGTACAGTTTGAGCTGTAGCTGCGTGCAACGACTGAAAATATGGCAGAGTGGATGCCCGGCTTTACTCAGAATCCACCTGCTGGCTTTCTTTTTCTTTCATTTCTTTTGCTCTTCATGCCACAAACCCCCTGCTTTATAGATATTGAACCCCACCTCGAGGTTATTTGTGGATTTGGGCCTGCTTAAGGCAAAATATTCACCAAAAGAAGCAAAACTTTCCAGTAAATTTGATCTTCCAAGTTTATTCCGAAAGAAACTGGAAGAAACAGTTTCTTCTAGCCAGAAAAAAAAAAAAAAACACTTTTAAGAGAGTCAAAGAATGTTGTTCTGGGCATCTTAAAGCTGTACAGGACGCACAGCAGGAGGTCCTTTGGATCATTTGGCGTGGCCTGCAGGGGGGTCTGAACGACTGGATCACGCATCCGTTTTTGTCTCTCTGGCCGCGTATAGAGAGGCTTCGACTAGCCAGGTTGACCAGATTCTTTTCACTTCTGTGTCTGCTATACAGAAAGTAAAACTATTTCACACATTTGCCTTGATTATGACAAATTATAAAAAAAGAATATAAAAAAAAAAGCACACTGGTGCATTCTATAAAGCAAAGCTCTGTGCAGCATCTAGAACCAGAACAGATAAAGAATGTTCATCTATTAAGATTTGCGTCTAAAGAAAAGAAAAACGCAGCAATAAACGCCGTGGGACGGTTTCCATGGTGACTCAGGCAGAGAGGCGATTCTCAGAGAGATCTGGGAAGTTTCTCCAAGTTTTTCATTCTTTTTTCCATAAAGAGGTGAGAGAGATACGCTGCGCTGACCTGCTCTGTCTGCCGCTTGTTATTCTGGTTTCTGTGAGGCTCAAAGAGGATCACTACTTTATCCGTTTTCTGTCCTCCTTAACTCCTATCATGGGGAAAGTTTTCTATTTTAATGTTTCATTCATTGTTTTTGCTCCAGTTTGTCCTGCTTACTATAAACGCGATGTGCGACTCCAGACTGACTCTTTCCCCATCAGATTAACAGATTTTATTTTGGATTTTCCCCCAAAGCGGATGTGCTTTGCTTTGTAACCGCGACTCTTTTCCTGTCAGAGCCATAAAATTGCTGTTGAATCGCTGCGTAATCCGACTAAAATAGACCTGGGCTCTGTTCGAAGTTATAGGCTGCATCTTCCAAAGACGCAATCTACCTGGATTGGATCCATCGAGGTGAAAATAAGGAGACTGGAAGAGTTTTGGCTGTGAATTCGAACAGGTCCAGCCTTCCGAAAGCAATATGCTCTGTCGCTTAGCAACCATGAGAGTTGAAACACAAAGCAGGAAAATTCTATTCTACTCTATTCTATTCTATAAAAGGAGTGGAAAGATTTAAGTAGATATAAACAAAACTAAATAAAATATTTGCAAAATCCTTTATATTCAATAACAAAAAATACTTAGTTAAGCACAATCTACAAAATAGCAATTAAAAAATAAAACTCCTATCAGATGTATAGTCCTCACACTGCAGATTTATTAGAATCTGACCTTAAATTACAGCCAAATCCATTTAATCAGTAACAGATAATCAAACATTTCCGCCACATATCTGATTCAATAACCGTTAAAACTATTTTCATTCATTTCAGACGGAACTATTCACATATTAGGATTATATTAAACTGAACTTCCAATATTCACCACTGTTTGGCGCCATTTGCCTTTTTCCTCTGATCACAGAGCAGCTTGCTTGAACTGACAATGAATCCTGGGATACCCAAGGATAGAGAGGATACACCGGACCCGTCCTTCAAATCGAGCAAAAGAAGGACGCGTTTGTCGGCCGCATACCGATGAGTCTTGGAATCAGACCAGACCTCGGCGCCGCGCTATGACGTAATCGGCTTTTGAATATGGCCTTCAGAGGACGCAGCCCATGAATTCGCTGCCCCCTGCAGGAAATCATCCCCATTAACTTTTAATGAGCACTAAATTCAACGACCTCTAAGACTCGATTTTCTGTCAGATCAGACACAGAATCGGATTCGGCGCGTTCTGGCCTTTAACCTGGGGAGCAAAGCAGACCTGCACCATGATCCACCAATTTTTTAGGGACATTTTTTAAAGGGACAGAATTTCCTGCAGTTTCTGGAATTTTTTTCAACTTGATAAAATCCAAAAAGTTCATGAGCTTAACGTTTCTATGTCGTCTATCTTTACAGGCCTGATCCAGACCACATGCCGCCGCCGGGATACGATGACATGTTCATGTAGCGCCGCCGGGTTTCCTGCTTGGACTCGCCTCAGAACTGAGCCAGACGGGGAACCTGGATGATGGGTTCGCTTCCCCAAGCTTTCCTCAAATAAAGAAAATATTCAGAACAACAGGTTAAACAATGTTTCTCACGTCAGACTTTCAAATAAAACATGATCCTATCGCTTTACAGTAAAAAATAATCCCATCCACAGATGAAAACTGACTCACATTGTGTGTTTTTAACCTGTCTGCCTGTACAACTGAGACATTTCCTGAATTTAAAGCAGCTTTTTTTGTGAAGTTGAGTGAATTACACTATGATGGAAAACCAGAAAGCTGATAATAAATTAGGAGGAAAAAAATGAAAAAAAATCGACCTTTTCAAGGTTTGGGTTTCCTGTGATTTGTTTCATGCTGAGGAAATGTTTGCGAGTAATTTTCATTTCTTTTGCACATTTATAAACTCGGCTCCAGTTAATTGACCAACATTGCTGTTTAATCATTTTATTTCAAAACATTCAAATAAAAAAAACTTTGCAGTCTGTTTGCGTTTCTGTGAGTTTTTCTTATATTGGACATTTGCACCTCTTTTATGTTTTTTGTGTGTAAAAAAGGAGAATTTAAATACATGTAAACTCTAGGCCTTTTTTCAGTTCTTTACCTCATTACTTTGCTCTCTACCAGTAGTTATATTTTCTCTGAAGGGATGTCTAATATGGAGGATAAAAAGTGCCAAAAATTAAATAAATAAATACAGCATTAAATAAATAATTAAATGTGTCAATAATTAATTAAAACCACGTCACTAATATAAAGTGCCACAATTAAATAAATAAATACAGCGATAAACAAATGTGTAATTCATTAAATAAATAAGGAATTAAATATATAAATGTGTCATTAATTTAATGAAATACATCTTCATTTTATTAAAAAAATATATATAATTATTTCAGTGTGCATTTAATTATTTCATGGTCCTGTGTTGCAGTGCATCGAAACCATTAAAAGAATCTGTCAAACTCACCCATCAAAGTTAAAGGGGCGGGGTTAACGCGAATCAAGTCTATGTAATCGATTTGCTTCGCCTTAATGTGCAGGGTGACCAATCAGGTGTTAGATAACCCCGCCCCCTAACTTTGATCTTTTTATCCTCCATAGTCTAAACCAGACAAATGCTTTGTTTTGTTTTTTTCCCTCCCTGTCCTGAATGTGGTTGACGTGTCGCCGCCGTACGCCTCGTTAACAGCTCATTACAGGAAAACAGAATAACATCCTTTCTAGAAAACATGAGGCTTTAAGCCCTGAAGTCCAGCGGTTACCGGGCCCAGCTGACACCAGCTGATGTTTATCTATTTATAGAAAGGGCCAAAACACAGTCACATGGTGTTTCATCCACATGCTTTTCAAATGGGTTTTTAAAATTTCTAAAAAATGTTTAAAAATTTATTTTTCACAAATACTTTTTGTTTTATAGCTGTGTAAACAAAATTAGATTTAAATTCCACCTGATGTGTGACTCTGCGGGGGGGTAATGCAACAGCAGGTATTAATGGAACCAACTACCAGTTTTAGTCCGTGAGGCAGACACCCTGTCTACTTTTAAGGCTAGGCTTAAAACTTTCCTTTTTGATAAAGCTTCTAGTTAGAGTGGCTCAGGTTATCCTGAGCTATCTCTATAGTTATGCTGCTATAGGCTTAGACTGCTGGAGGACATAGGGACCCCTTTTTCATCATTCTGCTTCATTCTATCTCTATTCTCCCACTCTGCAGAATCTATAAGTTCAATCTCTAACGTTCTGCTCTCTCTGCTTTTTCTCATAGTAGCTTCATCTGGTCTGTTCCTGTTTGGCTGTGACTCCATCCTGGAGAGAAATATCAGCTGTGCTGCTGCCATCAACACCTTTGTTTCTAGATGTTGGTGATCGGCCTGTTTTCCAGTGTAGTCCTGTTTCTCTGACTGTGACTAACTGGATGTGCTCTCTTCATCCTCTGACATGGGACAATCAGATATAGATATATATATCTGACAATCAGATATACCTGATAACAGCCAGCAGAAGACTACACAAAAAATAATCTTGACTTATCGCATAGTAATAAAGTATTAATATCAAAAATGTATTTCTGTTTTTTCTTCTTACATAGTTTGTTAAAAGGCCAAATAAGGACTTCAAACCAAAAAAAGTAATTTTCTGTTTTGTTTTATTCTTGGATCGGGCTTTAAAGGGTTAAGTTGCAAGACATTTTTATTTTGTCTAATTAATGTTATTTTTTCAAATTTCTCTATTTTGTCATAATTGTTTTGTCTTTGCTTTTCCAATAAATAAGTCAAGTCAGAAGTGTGTACAAAACCAAAAACCACCCGTTACCAGCCATCTTTGTTGGAAATGTTGGTATTTTTTGGAACAGAAGGCCACAACAAAAAGATATTTAATTCTTGAAGTAATTATGAGTTTTTTTGTATCGCAAATTAAAACATATTTAGGCTGACATATAACATAACTGACATAACTAGTTGTGAATTTCCTTTAATTAATTGCAATCTAATTACAGAGAACATACGGCTAAATTACAAACCACAGCAGAAAAAAGAACTTTATTGCTCACGTTAACAAAATTGTAATTAAAAATCAGCATCATGATCACAGACGGGATAAAGCTCAGAAATATGTACAGGAACAAGGCGTCAGAACTTTACAGCATCACTCCAGTAACATGCAGTCCATCCTTCACAGCAGTGGGAGGGGGAGTTTCAATTAAGTACAGCACCCAATTCATCTTTAATGGAGAAAATCTTTCATCAGAAAAACAAGTTAAATTTACACCTTTTAACCAACAAAATAAAACGTTATGCTTCATAAATCCAACAAGAACACATGATTCCCTGTGCTTTTCACAAAATACATCAGCAAACAAATCAGATGTGTGTGCAGCGGAAATCGATCCAGATTGATTGTGACTGTTCTTGTTTCTGTATAAAAAAAACAAAACAAGAAAAGGAGCCAAATCCTGCTTGTCTTTGAATTCTCAGAGCTGTACATCAAAAAATATGGCGCCACGATCACAAAAAGGGACAGCATGCTTTAAAATATCAGCAAATGCTCTAATCAATAATACAAAAACGAATATTTGAATTTAGTATGAGGTTAATTTATCAGTAGTTGTAAGTGGAAAAAGTTTTTATAGAGCAGGTGGCTTCAAGCAAGTCTTATAGATATTTAGGGCGAAATATGAGGAATTTAACTGTGGAGGTTATTATTTTTCCACATGTAATCTTAAACTAAACACCATAAAAGTGCATTTTCTTTATGTCTGTCCTGCATGTTTCAGATGTTTCTCACTGTAACAGGCCTGGTAATAAGTCATCAGCTGAAATCTGGGGTGCTGAATCATGAAGGCCGCGCCCCATGAGCGGATCAGGGTTCGAGAACACTGATCTACGGACCCCAATATGTAGATTATCTGGTTTAAAGGTATTTAGATTTGTGCTGCTAAAAAAATCCTCCTCTGTTTAATGATATTTAAGTTTAAAGCCATGTGAGAGAAATAAAAACCTGTTTATATATCTGTTAAATTTCATAGAAATAAGCCATATGAGCTGTTTTACTCTCCATACTATATTTATTATTCTACTTATAAATCTGGTTAAATATATTCTTGTTATCTTGTGAGATTGTATAGCAAAAACTGACTAAATCAAATGTTTAGTTTTAAATGCATTAACAGTTAGTGTCCTTAAACGTCTTGTTTTTATGCTTTTATTTTGAAGGCTATAAATGTAGCTTCAAGATTTAATGAATCTTTATTCATTTAAACAACTGATTCTTCATCTGAATAAATCAAAACATGGAACCGCTTTTTTCCAAATGATTCTTTTGGGAAAAACTGTCTATATGTTTTTGACAATTTATTAAAATCTTTTTTTTTTTACAGCTACAGATTCTTGAAGATTAAAAGAAGTGGTAGGAAACGAGGTCCAAATGACGTCTATTTAATATAATTTCTCCTTAAGATTATTCAACATGAATTCCATAAGGTTTGTATAAGTAAATTACAGATTATGACTCCTTTAACAATTTGGTGCTTATGTTATTAGTTGTTGTTTTTTTTTATCAGCTTAAAGCATAATCTTTCAAATATACAGCGATAACTGTTTGAAGTATATCACTTTGTAGAGAGATTTACTTTTTTAAATAAAATAAATGTATTTTTAAAGGTTTCTTTATGTTGCTTTTTTATCCCATCAAATTCAACTTAAAGCATAAATATAATTAAATGCCGCCTGTGGGCCTATGGAGCGCTCGTTTATGAAATACTAGTTATTTTACGGTGCTACTTATTTAACGTAGAGCAAAGTCACTTGCCTTTACAGCGACATAGCCGCTATCCTCGGGGAAGCCGCTTCTGATATATCGCCTACTTTTGGCAATTAGGCTCTTTTTTAGGAAGGCTTAACAAGGTGAGGCCTAACCTGACTCCGCCAGATGGATTTGCTCTGCATATCCATCTGGAAACCTTCCGTTGAAGTAATTTTGGGAAGGAGCAAAAATACTGGTTAGCTGATTGGCCTATGTTGGTGATAGACGGGCCAAATAAACCAATCAGATCAACGAAGCATATGATGTACTAACAGAGCGACGACGAAGAGGAGCCAATTGATAGATCAAACTCTTGCCGAAACCAGTCGGGAGAAGAGCAAAAACACCTTTTCCTCTGAGAAAAGCCTCCAGAGCAGTGTTTTGCTCTTCTTTCAGTGAACAAATACTCTGTAATTCCGATAAAACTTGCTCGATAGCCACGCTAACGCTAGTTTCATCGGCTGAAGCCTCCATGTTCTTTAGACTGAACTGTCGCGCTTCTCGTTGCGTCACACCTCAACCCGCCTCAAAGCCAACGCTGATTGGACGTTCGTTTGGTGAACGGCTCCAAATTTTCTTTAACGGAGAGTCTCCAGACTGATTAGCGAGTGAAATCTTGAAAGCTCGCGAGATCAGGATGGTCTCACTAGGCTAGGGGAGGCCTATCAGCTGAAAAAAACTTTCTTTTATGGCTTAGATTTTTTGCTAAAAAGGAGACGTTCACTTCACTGTGTAGATCATGTGCTAGAAAAACTAAAAGTGGGTTTGTCTATTGGGCAGGAGAGCCACATTCAAGATAAGTGCTTCCTGGAAGGGGCGGGAGATTACTTAATCAGGCAAGTTAATTCAAGCAAAATACCATTTGTGCTGTCATTTTGATGAAGAAAGAGCTTTAAAACACAGTTAAAAGCTTAAAACAGTGGAATGTGCTTGATACAGGCCCTTTAAGGTATTTTCTAGTGTGGTTGGAAAATTTAGATTTCTCTTGTTTTATATATTTAGTTATGCTATTTATTAGTGAAAAGTTTGTTTCACCTGCAAGGCTGAGAAAATGTCTGAGTGAGGGGCGGATTTAGACAAAACATACTTATTCTCACAACAAGCCAAATTGTTTCTCAAGGTTTTTTAAAGTTTGTGTCATTTGTTTTGACTCTGACACAACCTTCACAGTTTTTCTCAACAT